TTGCAGCTAGCTGAAAATGATAAAAATGATGATGATTTGTCCGTGGCCATTATTCCATTATCTCGACGAACGATCGCATTCCACATCGGCATTCCGCATCGGCTATCTCTATCTATAGCCGTCTCTCTACCGAGCTCAAGGCCATTTACACATTCAACTGGAAAACTGAAAACTCAAAACAACTGGCAAACTGGAAACGGAAAAACTTACAACCTAGCCACTGGCAATTGTTTTGCTTGCTGCTAGCGGGGAAAATTGCACACGGAAAATTAATAATCACAAAATTCATATAAATCTATATGTATGTTAAGATATTTTAACATGCCCCGAAATACATGACTTTGATCTTGAAACTTATCTATCTAAGCACTTTGTCTTTGAAGACTTATCATGTTGGGTGTATCAGTGATAAGGGAAATGATAAATTAGTTTGTTAACCCAGTTGTGGGGGTTACCTTTGGATTGACGCTCTCAAAACGAATTCATTTATGCATGAAATTCGCAAGAGTTAAACTACCTTTAACATCAGGTAAGTATGTCTAGTCAAATTATAGCCATGAAGTCAGCTTGTGATTAAGACTACAACTCAAAACCTTAGCTAACAACTTGTAAAACCAGATAACAAAGCTCACAGTTCTGCAATATTTGTAAGCTTGCAGTTGACACCTTAGTTTATTTTACTGTCTGTAAACATAATCAAGCCACTACATGATAGTAAAAAAATTCGCAGCTCGACAGGCAAAGCGGATAAAATTCATTAGTCATGGGTTATAAAAAGATTACGTTTTTAATGGCACTTTCAGTTTAGTAAATATGTTTGTATATCATTTGTTTCCTAATATCATTATCTTTCATAACTAAAATCCTGATATCCTGGTATATAAATAACTATAATATCCCTCCGATTCATTTTCTTTTTACAAATAATACAAAATGAGTTCCAGTTTTTTCCCAGTGCTCACTCATTCATGATACGTACTCATACTGGTGGCTCCATTGAGGCGCTGATCAAGGGGCGTTGAGGGCGTCATGGCCCCCCCACGCACCCCTACACCATTAACCGTTTCGATCGCAATCCCCGTTCCCACATCCATCGCATCATCGGCACTGGCAGCACGATTAAAGGGTCGCGGTTTGCGATTTTTGAAGCGCAGGCGCAGCTCCGTATTGAGAACGCGCATTTTTGTGGACGAGCGGAAATCGATGGGGAAATACACTTCAAACACACTCCTCTCCTTCTATAAAGAGGGGCTTCTCTGGCCTGTTTTCTTCTTTTTGTATTATTGTTTAGGTGATGTGGTTGGGGCGCGGGAATTGGAGCAAACGCATCAACGACTCCAACTCAATTTGTGCGCCACATTGATCGCTTTTCGATCACCGATCACACAACAACCACTCGAAAAAAAAAGCGGAAACTAAATGCGAATTTGGGGAACGCCCCTATATGATATCACACACACTATGTGTAAAGGGTTGTCTGGCTATGGGGGCAATGCGAATGCGAATCACGAGATTTTCATTTATTTAACTTGACTCGATATTTCTATTTCCGTACGAGCACCGTTGTTGTGAAAATTTCGCGTGCGACTGACTCCGGCTGACCGACCGACCGAGCTGAGCTGAGCCACCCAACCCAACCCAACTAACCCAACAAAAACCAATTCAACCTACCATACCGCCGAACATACAGCGAGCGGTAAGCGGTGAGAGGTGAGCGGCAGACGGCAGGCGGTGCGCGGTGAGCGGTAAAGCGATGAGCTGCGAGCGCACAACTTTTACAATCTAATCGCGCGGCCACTGGGCAGAGCAGTCGTCGCCAGAGCTGACAGTCTAGCTACTTTCCCCGCCCCACCTGCTGTTTTAACAGCTCTTTAGGGCATTTTATAACGATAATAGCAATATTAAATGGTATTAGATATGGGTAATACACTCGTATGATGTATAACTTAAAACTTTATAAGAGTTACAATTCTTAGTCTGCTTCTAATAGTTACTTCCATCTGCAGGTACTTTAAGCATATTTCATCATAAGCTGTTATCTGTATCGTATAGGTGTCATATTTTAAGAAGTTAAATCAGTTTAAACCAGTTATGGTTATTTATCCTGTTAAAGAGCTAAGACAGTTTTCAGTGAACTATGTCCTATTTGAATGCACGCGAGTGTGACATAAGTGGCTGTTATCATCGTCAAAAGGCTCTTATCAGCGGTGTATGGAAACATTCAAGTCAGCTGCTGGCAACTCTTAGAATTTGCACTCGCTAAAAAAAAGGTAAACACGGACTGAACGAACTGAACACACAAAGAAAGACAGACGTTGTCCAACATTTTCTGTGATTTCCAAATGGGAATTAGTGCTCATGTCCATGGAACGAAGTCAACAAAAGAGCTACCGAAAACAATGAATTCCTAACAGAAAGTACTTCGCAAGATTCTTTGTTTTTATTGTAGCTAATATTAGTTATTATATTACCTAACAACAAATTTAAACGACCATTCAAAACAAAAAAGCTTAAATAATGTTGAAGATAGATTATAATTTGCTGTTAATCAACCTTCAACATACAGAGACTTGAATACAGGAGTTCAGCAATGCCGAAATTTAAAACCTTTCGAAGAAAAATTCGCTAGACAGCAACAAGTTTTAATGCGTTTTCTTCGAAATCGGAGTGCTGCTCATTAATTAAAGCCGAAGAACTGTTGCTGCATTGAACTAGAATCAACAGGATAATGGTGAGGCAAACAAAGTTCAAATTAGAAATGGATCCTAGACAGCGCGAATTACTAGTTCTGGGAACTAATTAATATGGTAATGGGTGGTGGCGTTTATATGCACTTTCACCGGTTTGCTCAACATTAATTGGAGTCCATATTAACTTACACTTGATGGAATCAACAGGATAATCCCAAGTTAGACAATAGCCATCGCGAAAGCTGTAATTTCTGGAGACCAAAGCTACAGTCAATATGCATTTTCCGGGAAATCAATTTTAGTTTCGACTTCCTTTTAGCGGAATCAAGATAATAAAGTTTAATCAAACAAAGCACCAGTAAAATCAGGTGCTAGGCGAAAGTGCATTTTCGTTGGAAGCCAAAGTTATATTCAATTAACCGAAATCAACAGGATATTTTTAGGTAAAGGTAAATCAAACAAAGGACCAAACGAATGCAGCCTTTCCCAGAACGTAATTATTATGTGAAAATGATGAAAAATAATTGCGGTTCGGAAATAATGAAAGTGCACGAATATAGTCAGCAGGCAGTAAATTCGTGGAAATCGGGCTTTTAACCAAAAGAGTTAAAAAAAAAACAATAACTGAAGAGTTTCTGGGAAAAGATTGAACTTAATTTCAAATAAAGTTTTATAACATCGTTATCTAACAAAGTTTTCAAATAAAATAATATGCTAATTTATTTACCAACTATGTTTTAAATGTTTGCCTACTTTTTTGCAAGCCCCAAAAATAAACAATGAGTTTGTAAAACGAACATCCACTGGATAGCACCAACAAAAGCAAATTTTCCATAAATTTATCAAAAAGTTTAATAAAGATATGTATGTATGTACATATTTACATACTTAACTATTGGCAAAAGCTAAAAAACGTTGGTCTATGTGCATTTTCCCAGAATATGAATTTAATTTAATACAATTCCAAAGGATAAGTGATGGAATAGTAAACAAAGGTCAAACGCAATCGGATAGTTCCAGGAATTAAGCAAATAATGACATACAGAGGCTGGGAATCAAAATGTTTTGTATTTATACAGATGAAATGAAGACAATAGGATAAATTCCAATTAAAAACACACAGCCTTTATCCAGGTTCCGAACCATCCGAATTTATGAGGAATTTTAGAGAAAAGAGAGTGGGGTAGTCGGCGGTGGGGGTGCGGGATATGGAAGTGAAAATGTAAATGAAAATAGGAAGAGGAAATGAAAATGAAAATGTTTGCCTCCTTGCTTCTAGAGTTTTTCTTCCAATGTTTAACACTTCTGAAAGAGGCGCAACTGCAACTGCAGCATCTAAAAGTCTAAAAATAGACTTGTTGACAGCTCCCAAAACGAGCAGCTCCAGCAGCAAAAGCAACAACAACAAAAGGCGGGGGCGTCGCAGGAGGAGAAGGTGGAGGAAAAGGAGATGGAGGAGCAGAAAGAGAAAGAGGAATGTGTGTAAACGATGGAGGCGAATGCACGAACGGTAAACTGTGGAAATTGGAAGGAAAAGCCAAGGAGTCGCAAAGAGAGCGCATAAAATGAGAGAAATGGGAATATAATACTGACCGATTTTCTGCAGTATATTCATGATGAGCCCGTGTGTTTTAGCCAGGATTCACAGATTATCTTCTTGGCAATTTTCATTCTCCTTTTTCCGCAAAGAAATTCGGTTTTTTTTGCTCGCCATAGCCGAAAAAACAAAAAATAAAACACAAAATGCTCTTTCTCTCTCACACGCACATTTTCGTTCTCAGCTGTATTAGTATTAGTATTTGCTCACACACACAGTACAGTATTTTTATTTGATATTTCGCCCGTCTCTCTCTAACCACATATATATTTCTAAATATATGTTTTCGATCCGCGTTAAATATTCACTGAATCGGATCTAAATCAAATTCACACTGCACTTTATGCCGGCTTCGTTTGAGCCAAAAAAAAAAAGAAAATACAAAAAATAACAATACAATTTTAAACGCGCAACACAACAACAAAATGCGATGGCTTGTGCCAGTGTGACCGTTGTGCAGTGCGATCGAAAAACCGTTCCAAACAATGTGCGTAATAATAGTGACGAAAAACTGTGGCGATTGTGTTAGGGGCGGCAGGCAAATCGATTTCGTTATCGATACTTAGCAAGGACAGTTACCGGGGTATGAGAACAATTTGTGCTTCTTCCATCTCTAGCGCGCGAAAATAAAAGCAGTCCAGTAGTGTTTTCTCCCGCGGTTACGATGGCTTTCAGTGTGTACTTCGCGTATAGCAATTGTGTAGTTTTCTTCACCAACTGTTTAAAATGAAACTTCATTAAATTCACAACAGTCTGTGTCTACTATTAACTGCAATACGAAAAGCACTCTCACTCATGTTGTCCTTGCGCGCCAGTGTTACCATATTATTCTACCCCTGATTTATTAGTTAATCCATGGACTGGGCGGAAAGCCTTTTCGCCATCTGGTAACACTGGACACAAAAAAATTTGAGATCTCGCGTAGTTTATTGATTGCATTGGTAATTTAATTGCAAGCAGAATTCGAAATTTAACTAATATTAGCGGCAATTTATTTGCCGGCTAGCTTGTGTGTTTTTTTTTACTGCGTGCTTATCTCAACGTGTGTGAGTTGTTGCAGTTGCAGCGATGCAACTTTAGTGTATGTGTGTGCAAAAGTGCTCCTTTGTTTGCCCATAAAAAAGCGGCGTCGCCTTTGCGCAGTTGTTGTTGTAGTTGCACCACCCCCTCCCGCACCCTTTGTGGTTGCATTTGTAGTTGTCATTGTCATTGCCGCCGCTTGTGATTCTTACTCTTCTGCTGCCGGCGCCAGGGTGTGTGCTGCAAAAAGGAATAGAAAAAGGAAAAAGAAAATCGTGAAAACAGAAACTAAAAAAAGAAAATGCACAATTAATTGCACGCAACTAGAAAGTAACACCCAATAATCGCCTGCAATATATGCAAAAAAAAATTAAGTAAACCTCGGGGAAAATGTCAATAAATGCATAAAGCAGCAACAACAACGTGACCAAAAACCAACCACCAGGAGTGCATATATATATATATAACTATATATGAGTGTGTATGTAGTGTGTGTGTTTAGTGGGCAGTGGGTGAAAACAACAAAAAAGTTAGCCGGCTTGTTTTTAGCCACCCCCAACCAAGCGTAACAGAGAGAGTGGGAGAGCATTAGGGATGCAGATGGCCGCTCCTTTTTGGTTTTTGCTCTCCCACGCCGCCTGTTAACCGTTAGCTGTTCAGCTCTCCTGCAGGTTGCACCTGTTCCCTTCTCGCTCTCACTTTGCAACATCACACGTCTGTTATATTGCCTTTGATTTTTGCTTTTCTAAATCACTTGACCCCATTACCTGGTGGCTGGCCAATACCTGCTTGGTCGCCTCCTTTTCCCCCACAGTGGTCATTTGTTTTGCCGCTTTCTAACAAACAGAAACAGTTGAATTGGCGCATGCTCTTTCTCTCTCTCGCTCTTTCTCTCGCCTTTTGCTAACTGCACTTGGGGAATTACAGTGCGGCCTCGAAAAAAAAACTGTTAACTAAAATATTAATTTAAAAAAATCAAATGTGTAGCGCAATTTGGATTTCTTGTTCACGTTATACAGGGTTCACTGTATTTATCCACGTACTGCAAGCCAAGTGGGTTGTGTACGTGATTGTGTGTGTGAAACTCTCCATGAAATTTATCAAAAGGATCGTTAACCCTTAGGTGTGGCATATTAACCCTTACTGCTAGATGGATCGTATTGTTTGTGTTGCCATTTTGGTCAAGTGTTTTCCTTTTATTTCCTTTTTTGCCAGCTGCACTACTGAAGAAAACTACAGTTTGTAATACTAATTTTGCTTAAAAATTGTTAAATTAAAAAAAAAATTTAAGAGAGTTGAAAAAAGTGAATTTACAAGGATCGCTAACGCTTAGGTGTGGCATATTAACCCTTACGGTCGGATCACACCATTTTTGCCCAGTGTTTTTCCTCGCCTTTCCTGATGATGTACAAACAAACATTGGCATACACAAACACACGCCTAGTGCGCGAGTGTTGGTTGGTCTGGCTCATCCGGCTTTAGTGGACACCATTCTTGTCCAGCTTTCTCTTTTCAATAGTCGTATCGTCGCAATAGCAAGTGCATCTCTCTTTTTTTTATTAAATGTTATTTTTTTATTATCGCCTATTGTTTGCCTTATCGGATTCGGATGGCGATGAGTCAGGAGCGGGCGGCAAACCGATAACAAACTGTGGAATGTCCCCCGCGCACCCAAGTGATATCATACTTATACGGCTATGTTTGCCATTTTCCAGAAACGAAACTGAGAGGCGAGCTGAGCTGAGCGAAAGAGAGCGACTGGAGCGAACGAGAGGGAGCCACCGGACTAGCGGACCAGCAACAATCGACCATATACAATCCACAATCGACACTATACACTATACGCTCGACCAGAGAACATCCATATCCACATCCGCATCGGATCACCATCAAATCGGATCGAAGCCCATTTCAACCAAGTAGCCAAACATGGCCTGGCGATTCAAGGCTTCCAAGTACAAAAATGCCGCACCCATTGTGCCCAAGGCGGAGGCCTGCGTCCGCGAGATCTGCGTGGGAAGCTACCAGACGTACGGTAACAACATCGCCGCCTCCGGCGCCTTCATGGCCTTCAACTGGGAGCACACTGGATCTAGTGTTGCTGTCCTGCCGCTAGACGACTGTGGCCGAAAGAGCAAGACTATGCCGCTACTCCACGGGCACACGGACACTGTGACGGACCTCAAGTTTTCCCCTTTCCACGACGGTTTGCTGGCCACCGCCTCGCAGGATTGCCTGGTAAGAGATATATTTATCGTTTGGACTAGGATATAGGTCAGGCAGTGTTTTTGAAAAGGGTAGTGTCGGAAAGTAAGTCGGTAGTATGGGCGGAAAACTACTTAAAAATTAGAATCCTTAGTAGATCATTTTATATTCAGAACCAAGGGATATCCACTTTCTAAATATGTATATCTCACTGTGTTTTTAAGTTTTCAATTGTCATGCTATCCAGGGATCAAACGCGGAATACTCTAAACATTTAGGAATTTAAATCATAAGAAATAAAAAAATCTTCATTTGGAAACAGTTTTAATTAAGTCATCATTGTGACTTACTTGTCATCATGAATATGTCCATCCACTTGTGTGGAATTCTGGAGCTAATTTGAATATGATGATTACCCAAAAAAATAGGGGAATTACTCAGAAAATGTATCACTTTTTTCTTTTTTTCCCATATAATTTGATAAATAACAACATATTCTTCAGATCAACATTTTTCTGGAGTATCAATCGTATTTATCACTAGAAGAAAACAATAATGTTTTATTTATAGGAATACCTCACCAGAAGCTATGAACAGTATTATCAGATTAGTCATAAAATGAATAGTATGAAAGTGATTATGACAAACATGACATCAAATTCCCCTTCGTAATCAACTAACAACTCTTATTGCAATCTATAGGTTAAAATCTGGCACATACCAGAAAAAGGTCTAGAGCAGTCGCTCTCCGATCCTGAGGCCATCTTTTCACACAAGCAGAGACGCGTGGAGACAGTGGGCTTCCATCCAACGGCTGATGGCCTGATGTACTCCACAGCCGCCGGTTGCGTAGCTCTTTTTGATCTCAGCACCCAAAAGGAGATCTTCTGTAAGTTAACACCTCCTCTTTTGCTATGAACATAAAATATAGGTAATTTGGTTTTCCGCAGCTAACAATGAGCATCCCGAGGTTATACAGTCGGCCAGTTGGCGCGAGGATGGTTCTGTATTGGCCACCAGTTGCAAGGATAAGTGTGTGCGAATCTTCGACCCCCGAGCCGCCGGTTCACCCATTCAGTTGACTGCTGAATCACACCAGAGTATCAAGGATTCGCGGGTTGTGTGGCTTGGAAATCAGCAGCGCATCCTAACTACTGGCTTCGATGCGGCCCGATTGCGACAGGTTATCATTCGTGATGTGCGTAACTTCAGCACACCAGAGAAGACTCTCGAACTTGACTGTTCCACGGGCATACTAATGCCATTATTCGATCCCGATACCAATATGCTTTTCTTAGCCGGAAAGGGTGACACAACAATTAACTATTTGGAGATTACGGACAAGGATCCGTATTTGATTGAGGGATTGCGTCACACCGGCGAGCAAACGAAGGGAGCTTGTCTAGTGCCCAAGCGGGCACTCAAAGTCATGGAGGCAGAGGTTAACCGAGTGTTGCAATTAACATCTAACATGGTTATACCCATTATGTACCAGGTGCCCAGAAAGGTGCGTAATATGCAAATTTAAGTCCCAAGGAAAATAATATTAATACCACAAAATATTCAGACATATCGTGATTTCCACGCCGATCTATATCCCGAAACCACTGGCTACAAGACGGAACTGGTGGCAGGTGAATGGCTAAATGGCAGCAACCAGGCAGTGCCGAAGATGAGCCTGGATCCCGCCAAGCGTGAGCATGGCGATGAGCCTATTATTGTAAGTTATTTTCCTATAAAAAGTAATTTGTATATAATTGCCCATAGAGTATTAGGGAATTTTTTGGTCGACAAAGACTTCAAGGGTTAAGATAGTTAGGGTTTCATTGTCAGAATGTATTGGGTGTTTCGTTTAACTCCTATTTGGCCATCAATGCAGATTCATCGCGGCAATCTTAGCGATTTCGTTAAAAACCTGGAGAATCAGCGGGCCAAGAGTAACACCACCGCAAAACCAATTCCAAATCAGCAGGCCAAGCGCAACGATAACGAGCACTTTGTAATGCTGAACAAGGGCAACAACTTTGAGGAGAAGAACGGTAATGACAACAGTAACGAGAGCAATGGAAAGAAGAACACACCTTCGCAATCCCAGCCAGATGGCGAGTGCAGTGAGCTCATACGCAAATTCGAGGCCAAATATAAGGTGGATTCGGAGAAAGAAAAGGCCCATGGCTATGCCCAGTCCCAGGAGGATGACAATCAGTCACCCACCGAGCAGGAGCATTCGACAGGCAGCAGCGAGGAAGTCTCCTCGTCCGGTGGTCTGGACAACCACTCGGCCAGTGGCAGCCACTCGCCACCGAAGCCCATGCCGCGAACCTCGCGTAACAATTCCCTACCGGAAGCAAGCGATTCCGCTGGGGAAAGTGGCAGCACCAACACTCCACGCCCGAGGCCACGCACCACCGCTGCGTCTGCCTATAAGGTGCTGTCAACATCACATCATAATCCATATCCAGCCACTCCTTGCTTGTTTTGTTTTGTTTTTTTAAGTTTTGTTTTGATATTTTTGGTAGTTTCAAGGCGTAATGTCACCTTTTTAAAATTATTTTGATTTCATTTCAGTTTTCTTTTATTAAAAAGGACATCTTATTAGGCATCTGTTGACATAATTATTGTTTATTGAAAAGAATAAGTTGTCTCTTTTCTTTTGTTTTTATATTTCCAGTTGCTTATTCCTAGAAGTTTACTTAACTTTTGTAGGTTGTTTATTGTTTGTATTTCGAGATTACCCTGTTGAATGGGTTTTATATCATTGCACTGGTAACTTGATTTATTTATTTTACTTTTGAGTAAAACAGTTCATTTGGCTGTTTATTTCTTTGGTTTTTTCTTGCACTCAGGTAGCTTTTCCTTGGATTTGATTGATATTGTTCGTTTTATTGATATTGACAAAGCAATTGCTGTTGCCAATTATCAAATCAACAGAATCACAACATATACTGATTCATATTTCAGGGCTTTATGTTTGTTTATCATTAGTTACAGATGGTTTGACGTTTGTTTTTCTTGTGAAACAAATAGGGATTACGTTTTTATCTGATAACGATATCATATTGTTTTCTTATTGTTTATTATCATTTTTATATCCAGACAGTTTGTAGTTTGATTCAGTTTTTATTTTTACGAGAAAATTTTGATTTTGCTACGGATATTTTTTAGATCTTATATTAAATTTTTTTTTATTTACCAACAGCCACGCTTGGGCCCGAAGCCCTTCTCCAGCACCACTGGTGACGTGTCGTTTGACAAGGTATTCGCCGTACCCTTGGCACCGGGATCCCATGAGAATATCTCAAACGTGGGCCAGGACAGCGGAGTGGAAATGACACCCGCCCAGGGGGCTAAACCGGATCTCATTGTGGAAATCGAAATTAAAAGTACGGGGAACGATTTGCTTAATGGAAAGATTGTAAAGTAATTTTAACTTTAACTTTTACTTGCAGAGAAACACGAAAGGGAGCCCGTGGTGGCCGGAAATGGAGTCCAGAAATCGCTGACCACCTCTGAGCGCCGCAAGGTAAGATCGCTAATCAAATGGGGTCTCTATATAATCCACTCCCATTTTTACTATAACCTTCTGATCGCCCTCTTTTACATGCCTGTGCCAACAACCAAATTCGTCCTTTTCTGCTTAACTAACTTTGAAACGCTCCTGATTACTTTCAACTAACCCCTAAAAACCAACTTACACCTTTTGAACTTGAATTACTGCCACTTCTGCAACCGGAACTGCTATAACAACTGTAGTCCTCGGCTGACGATGATGAATCATCCGATAAGGTCTGCTAATAGGATGCCCAACTTGAATATCCTTCAAAAGCTAACCACTTAATTTTTTTTTTATCGCTATTCTTAGATATTCGAGCAGAACTCTGAGTCGTCGGAGAACTCAACGGAAGGAGAGGATCGCACGGATGCGGATCTACGACGAAGCTGCTCTTCCAGAAGCAGCTTTGCTGAGCGTCGGCGCATATACGAGAATCGCTCAAAAAGTCAGGTGGACGAAAAGCCTCAGTCTCCAGTGCCATTGTTAGTAAAACATACAAGCCTAAACCGATTCCTGTGCCCAGTAATCTTATCTTGTCGTTTCAATCCTTAGGCGTCGCGAGCACTCCAAAGTGGAGCCACTGAAGCCCAGCCAACAGCAACAGCAGCAGGGCAATGTGATCGACACCAAGCGCATCTCGGTGCCGGAAGGTAAGCTAATGGAGGAGCACCGCCGAGGAAATGGCGCTGGACTAAAGAAATCCGCCACAGAGGCGGCTTTTAGTGCAGCCAGCACCAAGCGCACCTCCACCGTCTTTGGCAAGGTGTCCAAGTTCAGACACTTGAAGGGCACTCCCGGCCACAAATCCACGCACATTGAGAACTTGCGCAATCTGAGTCGCCAGATACCGGGCGAGTGCAATGGCTTCCATGCCAACCAGGAGCGCGTAGCAGTCCCTCTTTCTGGACCTGGCGGTAAGATTGCCATCTTTGAGTTGAGTCGACCTGGAAGATTGCCTGATGGAGTGATTCCATCGCTCGTGAATGGCAGCAACATCATGGACTTCCAATGGGATCCGTTTGATGCCCAGCGATTGGCCGTGGCTTGCGACGATGGCATTGTAAAGATCTGGCATATTGAAGCCGGCGGTTTAAGCGAACCGACAAACACACCCGCTGGCGAGCTGACCGCTCACCTGGACAAGATCTACTTTATACGCTTCCACCCACTGGCTGCGGATGTTCTGCTAACCGCCAGCTACGATATGACCATTAAGCTGTGGGATTTGCGCACCATGAGCGAGAAGTGCTCGCTGTCGGGGCACACAGATCAGATCTTCGACTTTGCCTGGAGTCCCTGTGGCCGGTTGGGTGCTACCGTGTGCAAGGATGGCAAGATTAGAGTGTACAATCCGAGGAAGTCGGAGACACCCATACGAGAAGGTAATGGACCAGTTGGCACTCGTGGAGCTCGGATCACCTGGGCGTTGGATGGACATTACATCGTCTGCACCGGCTTTGACAAGTATGACCTTAATGAGTTTACCATAAAAATTATCTGACTGGAATATCATTAATTTTTTCAGGGTCTCGGAGCGACAGATTAGCGTGTATAATGCTCAAAAGCTGTCGGCGCCATTGAACACGGCCAGTTTGGATGTGTCACCATCGATATTGATCCCCTTCTATGATGAGGATAGTTCTACACTGTTTGTTACAGGCAAGGGTGACTCCACAATCTACTGCTATGAGATCACCGACGAGGAGCCGTACATCTGCCCATTATCGCACCATCGTTGCACTTCCCTGCACCAGGGCCTCAGCTTTCTCACCAAGAACCACTGTGACGTGGCCAGCGTGGAGTTCTCAAAGGCCTATCGGTTGACCAACACCACAATTGAGCCCCTGAGTTTCACAGTGCCCCGCATTAAGGTAGGTTTTAGGTGCTTCTTTTGTGTTTTCTCTGGTCTTATATCTATCTGGATTTGTCCGTTTTGCAGAGCGAGCTGTTCCAAGACGATTTGTTCCCACCTACACGCATCAATTGGAGCGCCACGCTAAGCGCCGAGGATTGGTTTGCCAGCAACGACAAGGCGGCACCCAAGGTCAGCCTTAAGCCGGAGGGCATGGAGACATGTGAGTGGTGAATTTCTCTGGTTGAAAACCATAAGCTAATGTTGTCCCTGTTGCAGTATCTTCCATACAGCAAGTACCAGCGCAGCCCATCAAGAAGCCGGATCATCCCCAGTTCGGAGGCCAGAAGTCCGAATACGAGATCAACAAGCAACAGGAGGTGAGCTCAAACCATCCATCGAGTATAAAGTTGTTTAAACTATGAAATGGTCTTAACAGATCCAGAAATCGGTTAGTGCGCGCATGGAGTTCACCACTAAGCTGGAGCAGGACGACATGGAGGGCGTGGACGAGAACGAGTGGCAGGAGTAGCAGTATAGCCAGCGTCTGCGGCGGACATGAACCATGGAAATAAGTTCACAATTTAGCGTTTAACCAATGGGCGTAATTTTTTTACCAATCTAGACATGACGCGGCGGCATCATGACAAAACAGAAAAATGCTCGACATATATACAACAAACATATATATACTTGTGGGCGAGTGAATATATGAAACTCGTAGTTAAGCCGAAAGTAAAACTAACACTCCAGTACACACACCCTCATCCCTCAGCCACCATCAGCCACCCTGCATTCAGTTCCTCGCTCCTCCGCCAATTACTGCAGTTGCTCAATAATTGCCAAATTACAAATCATAAGCCAGTTTTGTTCGTTTTGTTTAACGTATATTTTTGTGTGTTTTTTTTTTATGAGTGTGTGTTTATTAATTTTTTGATTTACCTATATATGTTTGTGTTTTTGTGTGCTATTTAAGTAGTTAGTCCAAAATTAGTTTAGCCTATTTAGGTGTTTACACTTACAATTAATTTCCTGGGTTCTCCTTTGACCTTCAATTTGTGTGGCCATATAGGAAAAGTGAGGAGAATGACTTAGATGATACTTTTACATATACGCATATGTATTTCCCTCTCAGTTTATTTCATGTCTGCATGCTAGTGAGTGAGAAAGAGAGTGTGTGTCTGTCTGTCTTTCCCCCTTTTTTTTCCAAATCATTTCACCCCCTTTCTACCATCCCTACCATCAATCAATCCATAAGGATAAACCCACCCAATTTCGAGCCGATGATGCCCTTAAACATCTCTTCTAGTCTTTCGCATCGCTCGATCCCCACCATTCACGTTCCCCCAAACCCAAACCCAAGACAAGAAACAAAAACATATAGACTTTAACCAAAAACAAAAAAAACATAATGCTGAGAATAACAATCAAGCGAGACAATTTTTGTACTGTATAATGCGAAAATCAAACTTACTGCAACAGCCGAATCAAACCGAAAAGACATGCAAACAACAATTCCAAAATGTATAACGAAAAGACTTGAACAGTGGATGGGTCAGTTACCCAGCTGCCCATCTCCATCCTCTGAATCCTCCTCCCCGAAAGGTCCCCTACTAACGAAAAACAAAATGGAAAATTAGAAAGGGGAAAGTAATAAGTTGCCATTGAAAGACGTGTAACGTACACGTTTGTAATAGGAAAGGCAATAGAAAACGTAACTCGAGTAGCATACACCCATAGGCAATAACTTTTTGTACTTGCAATAGAATATACACTTACACATATACACATGATATATATTATATATTTTGTATACCAATCGTAACTAAAACAGGCCAAGAACTCGAACTCGATATCCTGGCTAAAACGACTGATACAACAGCATAGGGCTAATGAATAGCGTGGCAAATTCAAATCTAAAATCAGACTTCTTTCAAAACAAAACAGACCAGCAGCAACCAATTCTCGGGTAACGGGCAATATTGTGCTAGACAAGGTTCTATTATACAGATTATATATACACACATACCATACGCATAGTTATAGGCATATATACGTCGCAAAGCAAAAGGTCCCAAGCTGAAGCCCAGCAATTCCAAATCGAAGTCCAAGATGCATTTAAATCCAAACGCCATGGAACGACTGACACAGACAAGTATTCGCAAAACATTCTGATCTGCCCCGTCTAACGCCCCCAGACTATAGTACTTATGTCCGAGATTATCCCAAAAAAAAAAAAATGATGAATTTCAAAAGGTTGAATGGGATCGATTGAGATCGGGGAAATGGGAACAAGCAGTTCTATAATTACAAAAATCGTATATCCCAATTAAACCCAATCTTCAAATTCAATTCCAATTCGAATCCCCTTGACCCGAACTGACCGCCCGCAGATATTATGTCATTCTGTATTTATTAGCCATATTCGATTACGATTTTCGAACGTCTCTCTTATTTATATTTATATATATCTATAACAATACCAATATACGAAAATACAACTTCAAGCGATATATAATACGATGATAAACGAGTGAAGGATTGATTGATTGATGATTCACAGCGGAAATCGAAGCGATTAAGTGTATGAGTGTAAGGAGAAGAAATATAAAAAAAGAAAGATTAAAGGATGGATTAAGTGAACGAAGTGTAGAATCAGAATCAGAAGCAGAAGCAGAAGAATCGGAATCAGAAGAAGCATACACATTATTTATACAATTTATTTTACAGTACGAGTATATCCGATATCCCCCATCCGATACTCTAGCCCTAAGTTATAATTACAATAATAATAATAATGAAAGCAAAAATATATTTATATACATAATTCAATAAAAAAACAAACGGAAAATATAAATTAACAAGCTTATCATTTAACTGGAGAGTTTATAATTTAAAAACAAAAAATCATTATTTTCATCTCAATTTAAATCATAATTTAACTTACATTTTTATTCTTTCAAAAAGCTTTCTTGGCTGGAGGCAGTTTACCTCCGATTGGTTTTCTTACCTGGTTGCCAGGACAACGAGTTGTCTCTCTGGTTTTTGATATCATGGGTCATCGAACAAACAAATAAAGAAGGTTGTGCGCATTTTTCCAAAAGGTCAGTTCTAGTCGGAGCACGGAGTGGAGTTCAGGCGGCGAATATGAAGTTCCTGCTGAAGAAATGCCTGCGCAAGAAGGCACCGGAGATGAAGCCCGGGGCCATCTTGGATGCAGTCATCTCGCAATCTTCGGCCACTGCCTGCAAGTGCTTACTTTACAAGCTGGCGGACTACAAAAGAGGTGAGTAATGAGTAAAGGATCTGGTGACCCTATCTTCTATAACTACACTTGTTTAATCCTCTTAAAATATGCTTGATTTTAAGAAGACTGAACATTACTAGAAGTGAAGATAGGTTATGCTTACCCAGATCTTAGGAAACTAGTTCGTATAAGGCAAAAACTTAGATGTGGCACAGTTCATCCATAATGATATATCTACAAATCCTGACCAGGTGGCGATCTCATCGACGCTATTAATTCGGGTGGACTGATTGCTGTGGAGCAGCTAATCCGCGAGCAGTTCGGCGTATTCATGTACAACGATGGCAAGGGACAAGTGATCAACCGGGCGGAGTTCCTGCGCTGGAAGTACCGTGATCACACCGAGGTGACCATACCCATTGAGGCGTCACTCTCTATCCACGATCCTCTGGGCAAGTGGGAGGACCACAAGGCCTGCTGGCAGATGCAGTACCGCGGCGCCTTGGGTGAAAGTTTGCTTCATGTGCTCATCATCTGTGATTCCAAGGTGCACACCAAGCTGGCGAGAGTGCTGCTCAGAGTGTTTCCCAATCTAGCGCTAGATGTGATGGAAGGCGAGGAGTATCTGGGTGCCAGTGCCCTGCATCTGTCCATTGCCTACAGCAACAACGAGCTGGTAGCGGATTTGATTGAAGCCGGAGCTGATATCAATCAAAGAGCAATTGGTAGCTTCTTTCTGCCACGTGATCAGCAACGGGCGCATCCGGCCAAGAGCACCGACTATGAGGGGCTGGCCTACATGGGTGAATATCCTTTGGCTTGGGCCGCCTGCTGTGCCAACGAGAGTGTCTACAATCTGCTAGTAGACTGCGGCTCTGATCCAGATGCCCAGGACTCCTTCGGCAATATGATTCTGCACATGGTGGTGGTGTGCGATAAGCTCGACATGTTCGGCTATGCACTGCGACACCCCAAGACTCCGGCCAAGAATGGCATTGTCAACCAGACGGGACTGACTCCACTCACACTGGCCTGTAAGTTGGGTCGAGCTGAGGTGTTCCGCGAGATGTTGGAGCTGTCCGCTCGAGAGTTCTGGCGGTACAGCAACATCACCTGTTCCGGATACCCACTTAATGCGCTGGACACACTTCTGCCTGACGGAAGGACCAGTGAGTATTAACGAAACTTGATTGATTTCGAGATGATGTTATTCTATTGGTAAATTTTATCTCAATTCCTAATTAAAATAGACTGGAATTCCGCCTTATTTATTATCCTAAATGGAACCAAGCCCGAGCATCTGGACATGTTGGACGGCGGCATCATTCAGCGTCTTTTAGAAGAAAAATGGAAAACATTTGCACAGAACCAGTTTCTGAAGCGCCTGCTCATTCTGTCCACCCATCTACTGTGCCTCTCCGTATCAGTTTATTTGCGACCTGCTCACGATGGAGAAGGTGAGGGTGAGGATTCCGACGGCTCTGATCCATCGGCAGCAGCTCTCCAGGATATTGAATCAGATGGCGGGAGCGATGGCGACAGTGGTGACTATAATGCCCAAACGGTGGCCCGTTATTGTGCCGAGTTTGCCACTTTAGCAGGAGTCCTAAGTTACGTCATCTTCCAGCAAGGAGACGAGATCAAGAACCAGGGATTATCCGCATTTCTCAAGCAACTGGTAAGGATCTAAATCAAATGGGACTATAGATTCAAATGGGTTATTATATTTTGTTCTACTTACATTTCCCAGTCCCATGCTCCGGCCAAGGCTATTTTCCTGTTCTCCAACTTACTAATCCTGGCATGCATTCCATTTCGTCTTATTGGAGACACCGATACCGAAGAGGCCATCTTGATCTTTGCTGTTCCAGGTTCTTGGTTCCTTCTTATGTTCTTCGCAGGGTGAGTTAGATAACTTTGGTACTGTTCCTCTAGAAGTTACCCTAAAACCTATTATTTTAGTGCTATTCGGCTAACGGGTCCCTTTGTGACCATGATCTACTCTATGATCACGGGTGACATGTTCACTTTTGGCATTATCTACTGCATTGTTCTGTGCGGCTTCTCGCAGGCCTTCTATTTCCTGTACAAGGGACATCCCCAAGTGCAGTCCACTATGTTTAACACCTACACTAGCACATGGATGGCCCTATTTCAAACGACCTTGGGCGATTACAATGTAAGGAATTCCCTATGATTATGAGGATTATGAGTTCCTTTTGAATATTGAAAATTTTCCTTTGCAGTATCCCGATCTGAACCAGACTACGTACCCGAATCTCTCGAAGACCGTGTTCGTCATCTTTATGATCTTTGTGCCTATTCTGTTGCTTAACATGTTGATTGCCATGATGGGCAACACCTATGTGACCGTAATCGAGCAATCAGAGAAGGAGTGGATGAAACAGTGGGCCAAGATCGTCGTCACTCTGGAGCGTGCAGTGCCGCAGGCGGATGCTAAGGGCTATCTGGAGGCCTACTCCATTCCACTGGGTCCATCCGACGATTCGGGATTTGAAGTGCGCGGCGTGATGGTTATTAAGAGCAAGAGCAAAACGAGGGCCAAGCAGCGAAAAGGAGCCGTCTCCAACTGGAAGGTAAGAGTTGGTAGAAGGAAGGTACTTATTATAATACATCTATGGACCAATCTTTCATAGCGTGTGGGTCGTGTAACACTAACGGCGCTCAAGAAGCGCGGAATGACCGGAGAAGAAATGCGTCGTCTCATGTGGGGCCGTGCTTCGATCTCCAGTCCCGTAAAGGTTACCAAGCAGAAGCTAAAGGATCCCTACAATCTGCACACAGATTCGGATTTCACAAATGCCATGGATATGCTTACCTTCGCCAACAATCCGGCCTCCTCCAATGGCGTTGTTCTACGAACGGTGACAGCTCCTCCGCCTGCTCCTCCAGCACCGGATCCGTTTAGGGAACTGATCATGATGTCGGACCAGCGACCGGAGACCCATGATCCCCACTACTTTGCCGGTCTCCAGCAACTGGCCAATAAGGCATTTGATTTGGTGGAGCAAACGATGAAGACGCAACCGCAGGCGCCACCAGCTAAGAAGATGGATCCCTTACCTGTCGCTTCTAGGGCCACAGCATCACCTGCCGTTCCTGCAACTGAAGCTCCTCCTCCAGACTTGATGGCCATACCCCTACCAATATCCAATTTGAGTAATCTGTTCCAGGATCCGAAAGACATCGTTGATCCTAAAAAACTGGAGGAGTTCATGGCCATGCTGGCCGAAGTGGAGACCGAAGAGAGCGACAGCGGTGGACCAATTCTGGGAAAGCTCTCTCTGGCCAAACGGACGCACAATGCATTGTCTAAGGCGGATATAAGACGGGATCAGCAGGGATTCGAGAGTCACAGCCACGGTCAATTTCAACCCATGTCCTCGGTGTGGGCACCACCTGGCGTGGATGTTGACACGGTGAGTGAAGAGGGTAAAGAAAACCAACTCGATAACTGAAACGTCGAAAACATCAAGTAGGATGTCTTAATAAAAGAGTTACCTTTAATCCTAGGGCTTTCACTTCGATGAGGCTGTGTCGGAGGAGGTGCTGACCATAGAACAAGAAGCAGAGGTGGAAACCGAGGATGGAAACGGTGGTCAAGATAGTGAGGACCTACCCACAGCGGAAGAAGTACACGCCACCATGAAACAGTTTCACCTGCGCAAGTGCCAGCCAGCACAAGATGAGGCCGCTCGTCGGGCCAAGAGTGCGCGTGTTCGTCGCAGGAACAAGTAAGTGATAATTGCGTGCAATTCATCCATTAAGCCAGTGCTCTTCTATGGCAGAGTTTCGCCGGAACAGAGCGATGATCCTGAGGAGTGCAGACAGCGAGGACGATCGGCTTACACCCGAAAAACGCAATCGCCACCGGATCCCCTGGAACCATGGAGCACCCGCGAGTTGCAGGATATTAACAAGATCCTGGCCAGAAAATAAATACAGAGCGCGATTTTCTGGCACATAGTCCTTGGTGGCTTATAATTGTTTATCAGAGCTTAGCTTAGTTAGAAGTACAAATACATAATAAACCGCGGATGCCACGCGAAACGCTGTGTTATGCTTTGGACCGGTGGCATCCTCGTCATACACTAGATTACCCATTAATCTCTCTAAGTGCTAGGTTTAAAAGTGGTGGAGGTGGCGGTGTTTTTTTTTTGGAGGAGGTGAAACCTGCAGCCAGGGGGCGGGAGGGTCAGCAATAAATTACAATTGAGAAATCATTTCTACACACATGCCTACGACTTAGACACTAGCTATATATAATCTCCTCCGATATACAATCGTATACACCTACATAAACTATAATATTATACATTGTGCTGGATGACAGTGGGTTGGCGCAATCAATGCCCGTTGCCAATGCCCGATTCCAATGCCTCCCGATGCTTCGATATGATTGCCAACTGTCCGTCTGTCCGTCCGTAGATTAGATTATCCCAGCTTTTACCGAAATCCGCCGGTTATTGTGCGATCCGTGGACATGGTGGAGATCGTTTGGGCCTGCTGCTGCTGTTGTTGCGCTGCCTGTTGTTGCGCTTGCGTCGCTGCCTGGGCACTGGACATGGTGGAGTTAATAAAGATCGGCGTGCCACTGGTCACCGTGCTGGCATTGTTCTGTGTGAGATTGGCATTGTGCTGCTGGACCTGGACCTGCACTTGCTGCGGCTGTTGTTGCTGTTGCTGTACTTGTACTTGCTGCTGCTGATGTGCCACAGTGGGTGCTCCACCCAATTGGAGAAGTTGCTGCGCCGTCAGCAGTTGGGTTGGGATGATAACCTGCTGTTGCTGCTGCTGTTGTTGCTGCTGTTGTTGTTGCTGCTGTTGCATTTGCAAGCGCTGCAGGAGATGCAAATGGTTGGCATTGATGGCGATCTAAAAGAAAAGAAAAGCCGCATTAATGAGTGAACCTGGAAATACAAATAGGTCTACGGGCACTTACCGGCACATTGGTCAGTTCCCCCGTTGGCGTTACCACTTGCTGGAGCAGCTGAATCTGCTGCTGTTGTTGCTGATGCTGCTGTTGCTGTTGGGCGAGATTCTGAAGCAGGGCCGTCTGCTGCTGGGCGGCCGTATGCGGCGCTGGTGTGGCGGTCAGTTGGCCATTGGGACCGGCGGTCAGGATCAATTGCTGGGTGGGTTGTTGAGCCGACACTATATTGATGCCCAGGCTGCTGGGCAAATGATTCTGAGCAGGCTGCGGCTGCTGTTGCACAAGCTGCGCCGCCTGCTGACCGGGTAACGCGATAAAATACTGCAGCTGCTGGCCACCAGCACCTTGCTGGATAATTTGTACCTGCTGTGGATGTGCCTGGTGATGTTGCTGCTGCTGTTGTTGTTGCTGCTGCTGGGCGGTATGTTGCTGCTGTTGTTGTTGTTGCTGCAGTTGCGCTGAGAAGATATCCGGATTTACGGTGCTAAAGCCAAGCACCTCCGCGGCGGTTGCTGTGCCTGTGGTGTCCAGTTTGAGGCCACCAGCTGTGGCCGCAGGTACGGTGGATCCACTGGCTACAAAGTTGCCCGTGGCAGAAGCAGTGCCAGCCACGGAGGCGGCCGCATTAGAGGTGGATGTGTTAGATGTGGAGGCGGCACTGCTGGTCGAGCCTGTCATTCCACTCGAACTGGAACTACTGCCATCCTTACCCTTTTGCGTCGACGACGGCTTGATCTCCTCACGCGGGACAATGTCGATAAGGAAGTCAAACTGGTCGTAATTGGCAATGGCCTGGGCAATATCCGATCGCTGGAGCGTCCGCCTCCGGCTCTCTTCGGTGTGAACCCAGGCGTGCATGGTTAGCTCCTGGATGAAATACTCACAAGCCTTGGCGAACAGCAGCGGCGCCTCACCGGCAATCATCTTTGCATTCTCGTCGAGCTTCATAATCTTCTTGATGCGCGCCAGCGGCAGTACCTGGTGCTTGGCATCTACTTGGCCAATCCCATGCACCTCGCTGACAATATTTGGCCAGAAATTATCGATGGTTGGCGGCGGTTTGCGGACCACCTGAGCCCGTGTGGCCTTTGTAGTCTTCTCCTTAGCCGTGCCTCCAGTTGTGGCTACTGTCACACTCATGCTGGGATTCACTAAGGTGCATGCATTGGAAACTACGCTGGCCATGGGCACTGTTTGCTGTTGTTGCTGCCCCGACTGCTGCTGTTGCTGGGCGGTGGTGGAAGTGGTAACCACCACAGCGTTGGAAGTCCTCCGCTGCATGGTCACTGCCGCCGTAGGATTCTGCGACTTGGAGTACGCCTGTCCCAGTTCCATCTTGATGGGCGTCACTGTGATGGTGTTGTCAAACATGGATGTGGCATTGCTGGAGGGAATTCACATTCAGATTCAGATTGGCAATTCACAAACGAAACGAAAACAGAAAGGAGCGGCGCATATCAAAAATCTCGGCTGTACCGCCCGTTTTGGGGGAGGGGTGCTGGACTTGTGCTCGGTTTGCGGGCAAAACTTACCTGTTTGGCGCCTTGTTTGTGCCGCCATTGTTGGTTGCGTACATGACCCGGTTGGCTAGAGACCTAAGCTCGGCGTTGGCGGCAACCGTGGGACTCTGGCGACCGGCTTGTGTCCACAATAATTGTTTTAATTCGCTTGTAATTCGCAAAGCAAATGCGTAATGCACACACATACACCGCGAACGCCAGTGTGACCAGGCGAAGATGAGGGCGAAAACATAACGATAACACGATTCTTTTATTCTGGCTACTTTCTAGACAGATGTGTTTAAGCTATGGATATCGATATGCAAATATCGATAACATCGTTCTGTCTACTTCCAAGCTAGATTTGGCTTGGATACGCCAATTGGACACCACATACCGCTGATAAGAAACGAAACCGAATCCAATCCCAATCCATAACTAAATCGAAGATGAAGGATCTCTTCTGGCACTTGGTGGGCATAGCCACCGGGTTAAAGATCCTTCTGATTCCTGCCTAGTGAGTATTGTGGCTTTTCCAGTGCTAGATCTAATTAAACATTACGAATAGCCATTCTACAGACTTTGAGGTTCATCGCAACTGGCTGGCCATCACCAATAGTTTGCCATTAGATCGCTGGTATGTGGAGGCCACTAGTGAATGGACACTGGACTACCCGCCGTTCTTCGCTTACTTTGAGTGGCTGCTGTCGCAGGTGGCCAAGTACGTGGATCCAGGGATGGTGGATGTACAAAACCTCAACTACGAGTCCAAGGGTACCATCTACTTCCAGAGACTCTCGGTGATTATCACAGATCTGGTCTATGTGCTTGGCGTGCGCAGTTGCCTGGGATCACTGGGCTTGGCGAGAGACACGCAGCAGCACTTTGCCGGCTCCATGTTGTTGCTGCTCAACGTGGGACTACTCTTTGTGGACCACATCCACTTCCAGTACAACGGCTTCCTTTTCGGCATACTGCTCTTGAGCATAGGATCTCTCATCCGTCACCGTTACCTTTGGAGCGCCTTTGCCTTTGCCGTGCTTCTCAACTTCAAGCATATATTTTTGTACATGGCTCCCGCCTTTGGGGTCTACCTGCTGAGATTCTACTGCTTGGAACAGACTAGTGTGGTGTCCACAGTAGCTGCCTTTATCAAGTTGCTTGCTGTGGGACTCACTCCGTTCGCCGTGTCCTTTGGACCCTTCTGGCAGCAATTACCGCAGGTCCTTTCCCGCCTATTTCCATTTAAGCGGGGATTGACGCACGCCTACTGGGCCCCCAACTTTTGGGCCCTTTACAACACCGCGGACAAGGTAGCCGCTGGAGTTTTAAGAGTACAGGATGCCGGTTCGTCAACCACGTCAGGATTAGTTCAAGAAGTCAGGCACTCGGTGCTGCCAGCCATCACACCACCCATAACATTCGCTTTAACAGCTCTTTTTATGATTCCCATTTTGGTGAAGCTCTTTCGGAGTCCCAAGAAGTAAGCTGAGCATCCAAGTTTTATTGCGAATTAAGCCTAATTCCAATCTTTTACTAATTTTCAGTCAAAGTCCCCTGGTATTCCTGCGAGCCGTGGTTTTGTGCGGCTGTTCCTCCTTTGTGTTTGGGTGGCATGTCCACGAAAAGGCCATACTAATGGTGCTCATTCCTCTTTGGTAAGTTTTCCCATATTAACCACAAAAGAGGACTCCTACTAACATCCCAAACAACTTACAGTCTGTTGACCCTTGTGAACCGGGAGGATGCCAGATACGCGTACATCCTCGGAGTGGCCGGCTACTTCTCTCTTTTCCCGCTACTCTTTGACGCGGAACTATACATTCCCCGGTATTCCCTGTATATGTCGTACGTGGCAATGCTTTACGGCCAATTGTATCGCATCTTTCCCGGCTTCCGAGGATTCCACGCCCTGGAGTGGCTCTATATGCTAGGTTTTTTGGCTATTCCATTTTACGAGCATCTGCTTTCATTCCTGCTGCACTTGGACAAACGTTTTCCCTTCCTGCCTTTGCTGCTGACCTCTGTGTACTCGGCATTGGGAGTACTCTACTTCTTTGGGGCTTACTATCTGTACGCCCTCGGCTACAGCTGGGGAAAGGTGGCCATCGCATCCTCATCTTCCACGTCCGCTGTTAAGAGAAAACGAAAAACCAAATAAAAGGAGCAGTAGAATGGGCTTCAGCAGAAATCCGCAATGGGTCACGTATTGCGTTCAGAGTGGTGGTGCGACCAGTCGGTAAGGCGCCTGGCGCAACAGCCAAATCGGCGCCGCCGTCGCCTCTGGTCAGGACTCTCTGGTCCAAGCGAAGCAAAGGACAATGGCTGTTACACGGAATTCAGTATGCAGGTAGCGTTCGCCGGCGTCTAAGCGGCGTACCTGTTGCCAAGACCAGATTATTGCCGGTTCGGCCATAAAACAGGTAACAGCCGGACTGGCCGAGTGGGTGACATTCCTGGAAATCCCGTGGAAAGCACGCTAGCTGAATGAATATATATCAATTGCTTGCATAGGCGGAAACTACCTCAGTTGATAAGTTTCCGTCCAGCCGAACAGGTCGAAATGCAGATGCACATGGAGTTCTCAAATGCTTACGGTTACGATCCAATCAGCAGGCCACTGCCTCCGCCACAGCAACAGGTGTCCAGCAAGTATGAAGGGAGAAGGTTTTCCCCATCCAGTGTATCAATGGTTTCATTTTCAGTGGGTTTACTGACGATTCCGATTCCTGCTTCCGCCGGGGATCCTACATTGAACTGGCCACAGGAGCCCTACGCCGTGTAGAGGACATACGCACGGAGGACTTTATCCAGTCAGCGTTACGAAGCCAACTCTTTGATCTCCGGGAGGCTACAGTGGTCCGGATCAACCGGGGATCCCCCAACCATGTAACGCTAACCTTTAGCTATGACACACAGCATGCCAAGGTTGGTTTAGATGACTGTTCTTCATTGACATTTTGGTCACAACCTTGCCCTATTTTCAGTTGGACTTGGAGGTGCTGCCGGGTCATCCAATGTTCGTTTATGGACAGGGCTGGGCGTCCTGTAATCCGCAATTGTCATTGCAGCTGTACGAGCTCAAGTGTCAGCAGCTGCAGGTGGGCGATATTTGCTTGTCGTTGGTGCCGCGCGAGCACCCCGTGGCACCACGTCCTCCCCCGCCGCCACCGTGCCCACCTCCCCCACCGCCAGTGGAATTGCCAACTAGTATGGCTTCTCCTCCCGCGGGAGCCTATGGATTGACCCCATTTGAGCATCCGTACCAGGTGTACGCCCAGATGGCCAGTTTTGTGGCCGTCTACACCCAGCACATGATAGAAAAGCTACAAAATTAGGCCACATACCACCGGTTAAAGCACAAATGTATATGACGATTTAGGGATATATTTAGCGATATCCCCGGGATACGTCGCATACGTTAAATAATTTATTTACAATACTGTACTCTGTAATGCACAATTACTCTGTATTTTACCAAATATTAAATAAAGTTTAAAAATGCCCGCAAAGAGGAGGATGCCTGATAATTGAGATGACAATATACCGATACAACATGCATTCAACAGTTTATATCGCCGAACGCAATAATCGTGTCGCGATATTCAAAACTCTAAATAAGGAGTCCATAGCAATCTTGCTTATCTGTCAGTGTTCCTGTCATTCTATTATTTCCATGACTGAAAAGGACATTAAGTATTTTGGAAAGTAGGCGTTGCAAATAACACTTCAAAGGAAATTCTTTCTCCGGGACATCGATGGTCCGTAGAGCGCCCATGACAGCTGTTGTATCGATAGTGATTGGCCCACCACTAACTGACGTTGGAACAAAAAAAAAATTAGTATAAACTAAACTTAGTGTTTCTCGTCGAACCGTAATTAATGAGGATATTCGAGGCGATTTGATGTCTGCGCTAGCGCCGCCTATTGCTTCAATGAAAAACGCGCTCCAGCCGGACAATTTCAATGGGACTGGGACCGAAGAGGAGGCGTCCTCTGCGTTCCACGCGGAGATCGACCGCGTTCTGCGGAACAACAATGGAAATCACGGTGGCAGCGGTAACGAGGGCAGCAGCGGGAGTGGAAGTGCAAGTGGCAGTGCCTCCGGATCCGGAGGCAGTGAGTCCATGTGGTCACCGGGCGGGAAAAAGTCGCACGAGGCTGCGCAGGCGTTCGCCAACACACTGCTGCTGCGCAACATGAACCATGAACTGGGCAAGGCAGTCCAGAATCACCGAAAGTCCTACCAGTGCAAAGGTAAGTCCGCTGTCTCGACATTGACAATGCTTCCAACACTTCATTCGATTTAAGCAGGCGATCCGGTCAACCTCTCGGCTAATGGCGAGGATCTGCGCTTGTCTAAAATCATTCGAAGGCTTATCAACGAGACCAATCCCGCTGTGGCTTTGGAATTGTGCGGCAAACTTGATCAGGCTGTGCGCACACCCATCAACATGGGCTATATGTCCTGTTCCTTCGTGTGGATCCTGGAAAACATTCTAACCCTCTACAAACAATGCTCGCCTCCAGTTCTAGAGGAGTGCAGCAAGACTCTGGGATTGATTGGGTACATCAACCGCAAGTCGTATCCCATATATGAGGAGTTTATCGTGAAGAACTACAGGAGCACCAAGCGGATGCAGAAGTATCTAATTGTGGCTCTGCGCACCACTTTGAGGTGACCTATTGCCTCCCCACTTTATTTATTGTTTGTAACACATCCCACTTTAAATGCAGCTGCGACACCAAATGCGAGCTGCATCTGTACGCCGAAAAGATCATGCTGATGTTAAAGGACTTTCTGGAAAATGCCGAAAACGCCGAGAGCTTCGCCGGCGTCAGCAACACGCTTGTGCAGTTCTCAGCCATTTATGGGGACGTCTTCGAGTGTCATTTTACCGACGTGGTCGACATTGTCATCGGCTGGCAGCTGGAGTCGGGGCAGCCCAGGCAGCTAAAGGCCCACTGTGCCCAAGTGCTGGAACAGTTGACGCCATTTTTCAGCAAACAAATTGATTTTAGCTATGGCCTGTTGGCCCAGTTCGTGGAGGACATCACCACGCTTGAGGAGGAGGATCCGGCGGCAACGGCAGAACGTGTAGGCGCTTTCGTTGGCGCCTTCAACACGCTGCTGAAATGCCTGGCCCGAATGCACATATTCGTAGGCATGCCCACCTGTGAGTGCATTGTCCAGATGGCAGTGGATCATCTAACTAAAATAATGCCCCATCTAAAGTTGCATTTGGATACGGATGCTTTGGTCCACATTAACGAGCTGCTCTGCATCTGCCTGCTGAACAACTTCAGCGGCCTGGAACCGAATACTTTGGAGCAGCTATTGCTTATACAGATAGAGCAGATACTTTGTCTTAGGGAGGTCCAGAGGCAGAGTGTCTTATATTTGCTGCTCTGTACAGTGAGGAGGTTGCGGGCTCGTCTGCCACCCAGCCTGGTACACTTGATCTTCCAGTTTAGTCCTTACCTAGCAGAGCTAAGGCGCCAGACACCGGGAGGTATTGCTTACAAGCTTCTACTTCGCACCTGTCAGGAGACACTGCTCATCCGTAATGTACCCCTCCTGCAGCAAGCGTACAAATATCTTGTGGACGATATCGACGCTTGCTTGCAACAACTGCTGTCCACTTTACCTGCAACGGAAGAGTCTGAAAGAAGAGGCAGAGAGGCGGGCGTGCTTCTCGTTTTCCATTTGTCGGCCCTAGCTGCTTTGGCCAAACAGACATCATCAATTATTGGCATGTACGCATGTAAACCCTCGATTCTCGAGTTGCTCCTCACAAACTGCAAAGCCCACGAATTGACGCTCTGGAGTCGATATCCTGCCGCCCATCAAGCCATTTTGGGTTTGCTTGTGGTACACTGTCAGGCGAATCATAACTTTCGCACCAACTCTAGTTTGCTGCGTGACGAGGAGATGGCGGCGGAAAATACTTCGCCTACGGCAAACAGCTTCGCAAGCATCCTTCGCTTCTTGGATTCGGCTTTGGCACACGCTAGCCAGCTTGCGCCCCAAAATCTAAGGATACTGTTGCAGTGGACACAGATGCTCTTGAGCGAATGCCGCGAGAAGGCTAATCTTCTCATGGAGCAAGAGAACTTCCTGGGCATTTGCCGGAACATTGCGGCCACCGCCTCAAAATGTACGCCGTTGGAAAGTGCTGCCTGCATTCAAACCGTGTTGGACTATGGCCCAGAAAGGCTTCGTTGTCTTCCAGAGCTTCTGATCCTGTACCGTGATACGGCACTTCAACAGCTGCAAGTGCTCTCCCCGAATGGCCATACACCATATGTCCAGATCTACGCTCAGTTGCCACTGCACTTTACCCTCACCGAAGGTGAATCATCAATATCCGGGATGGCGAGTAGACGTGTATGCGTTTGGCAGCAGAGGATGAGTCAGTGCAGTGCGGTACACGACACCGTCTTCCGTGACTTCTTTGAGAGGCTGCAGAAACCCGAGCAAGAATTGCTAATCAATAGCCTGCGGGAGCTTTTTGTGCGTAGCTGTCAAGTAGCTCCACAGGATGAGCGACATGAGAAGCTGTCGCAGTGCACAAAGCGCTGCCAGAGATTAGCCACCGCTTGGTTGCAGTTCGAAGCAGCAAGGTACTGTGTTGATCAGCGACTCCGTACAACACTTGGAAAGCCCCAGGAAACCTTTCTCGGATTCGAGGCCATCATCATGAGGCACGCCAGATTGTTGAGTGGATGTGCCAAGGAAATGGAGCGCTCCGCACTGGACACTCTGTCGTTAGAGGAACTCCTGAATATGCAGGGAAATCTAAGTCTGCTCCTGGGCTTTCTCGATGCACTGGAGAAGCTCATCTACAATGCCGCCGAAGGTAGCGCCTTTGCCTTGCGTCCGCCAGAAAAACCAGTGGCAGCCTTCTTCCGATTAAACAACCCTACCTGCCAGTCCTGGTTTAATCGCATTCGGATTGGTGTGGTCATCATCGCCATGCATGTGCAGCAGCCGGAACTAGTTATCCGATATGCCCAGGTGAGCCACCTCCGCAATCATTCATTTCCATTGTCAACTTAGTCTCTTCTTCTGTTTGCCCTTTATAGCAAATTCTGCTCACCCAGAAAACGCAAGATGCCACCTACAACCAAGCTATCGTTTATATGGCCTGGGCTTGGGTTACTTGCCAGGAGGCGGACTCCTTGCGAGGCCTGTGCCTGTGGGCTCGAACCAAGAGCAGTAAGTCATACCAGTGGCTGTTGTACGCGGCAGATCAAGCGGCCGGAAAACGAGAAGCCGCACTTGCAGGCTACAGGAGTGTTCTAGCCGACGAAGAGCATCAACCCGAACTGGAGCCGCACACTCGACAGTTTGTGGTGTCTCAAATGATGCAGTGCTTGCAGGACTTGGGTCAGTGGTCGCAGCTGGTAGAGTTGAAGCAGCAGCAACTGACGCGACCGGAGGACAGAGAACTAAATCCCTTCCTGCAGCGTAGCAATGTAGAGGTAAGTGCACTGGAACGCCTCCTAGCCAAAGGTGAAGAATCATACGCCTCCATGGACGAGTTCGGAGGAGCCCTGCAGCAACTAAGTCTTTGGCCCAGCGACTGGGAAGAATCTGGATCAACTAGTGTCATAGCTGGACGTGCCAGCTTCTCATCCGTTCATGTGCGCCAAAGAACAGAGGATATTGTACTGCAGAAGCTATTGGAAGACCGTTGCCTGCCTGATCAGGCGAGGAACTTACTAGATAACCAATGGCGAGACAGCCTGCTGAACCCCAGCTTTGATCAGAGATCTTGCAAAGAGCTGACTCTGCTGCGACATATAGTTCAAGGTGTTAGCGGCGGTCAGGAGTTGTCGCTGCTTCCCTTGTCCTCAAATAAATGTCAAAGCCGATCAAATCCCATCTCCAGTGTCATTTTGATGCGTTGTTTAGCATGGACACAGTTGCTTCGTCAGCATTGCGTGCCGGGCAGTTGGGAAACGCTTTGCTTAGAAGCAGCTGCCGCTGCTCGCGAAGAAGGAAATCTTCAGCTTTCGGAGACGATGCTCGCACAGTTCTTTGGTCAACCACTGGATGATATAGCCGGTCAGTTTTCATTAGAACAAGGAGTACAGTTGGATAATCCGGAATTGCTACGCGGTTATAGTGAGCTGGTCAAGTGCCTACATCTTCAGCAGCAGCAACAGCAGACGCAGTGCGGCGATTTAAGTTCTTCGATTGATGTGTGCGCTTCCCTATGCCTGAATATTCAGAAAAGCAGCCAACAGCCAGACGTGGGTGCGGACCTTTTGCTACACCTCTCCGATTGGATAGCCACCAGGACTTGCAATGGTTTAAACACCAATCAGTCGCCTGTTTTGATTCAGTTGATGGACCAGCTGCCCGAATGTCCATTGACCTGTGGCTCCACCCAACCGCTGGTCATTCCCCAAGCGGAGCGCCTGGTTGCTCGCCTTGTTCACGCAAGCCTAAAGAAGCGCCCTAATTGCGAGGAAGCACTGATAGCCTACGGCAACTGGTGTTATCGCTGGGGCAAGAAGATCGTGGACAGTGCCTGTGTCCTAACCCAGGCGGATGGGACGGCTCTCAGTCAAGCGCTAGATATTACTCAGCCTCTGGATAACGATCAGTTGAATGAGCTCCTGCAGGCGCTTAGTATGGAACAACCGCCGGCGAACTGTGTTGAGGTGTGTCCAGAGGTGGCGCGTGCCCGGGACGATGAGGCGGCCAAGAACTGTCTGCGCCGACTGAGTTTGCTGGCGGATAAGCCACCAGAAGTTCTGGATACCATCTTACAGATTTGGCGACGGGCCATAGCTAACACCTATGATTACTACAAGGATGCAGCGCGTTCTTACTTCCAGTACCTCAGCTTAAAAGGTAGTTCCGGTTCGGAAAGTACAGGAGGAAATGGAGTCGTACAGCAGCGAGAACGTTTCCATGTAGACGACAGCAACCTAGTAACAACGACGCTGCGACTTCTTCGTCTCATTGTGAAACATGCCAGCGGTCTGCAGGAAGTTTTGGAACAAGGACTGCACACCACGCCCATTGCCCCCTGGAAGGTGATCATTCCGCAGCTATTCAGCCGGCTGAATCACCATGAACCGTATGTGAGGAAGAGTGTTTGTGATCTGCTCTGTCGCCTAGCGGAGAGTCGCCCCCAGCTGGTGATCTTCCCAGCGGTTGTGGGTGCGAACAGGGAACAACAGGATGCCGCAGCTCCGCCGGTGACAACCCCCCCAACTACGGAGGATGCCTGCTGCTATGGCTATTTGTTAGGAGAACTCTCGAAACAGGCTCCAGAGGCAGTGCAGCATGTCCAACTAATGGTTAAGGAGCTGCGACGCGTGTGCTTGCTATGGGACGAGTACTGGATTCATTCGCTAGCTCACATTTACAACACGTATGTGAGTCGGGTGAGTGCACTAGCCACCGAATTCCGCCCGGACGATCATGAGGGCAAGAATAACCGCTTCAATGTCTGGCGACCGCAATTGCTGGCGGATCTCGAGGCCCTGGCCGCGCTCACAGCTCGTCCGGCGGAAACCACCTATGAGAGGAGTTTCCGGAAGCGTTTTGATGCACCTATACGGGCCACTGTGGACGCATTACGCACACGTCGTTATCCGGAAGCGTGGGACAAACTGAAGCAGCTGTACCACATCCTGCAGGCGAACATGATAAGGGGCACGGGCAGCACCCTCAAGATGCAGACCCTGAGTCCGGTGCTGTGTGGCATTGGAAGAATGCGCATCTCCATGCCGGGTCTGGATGCCCATGGGTCGGATCAGGATCAGGTCTACATCGAGAGCGTCGAGGGATCAGTGTGCGTGTTGCCCACCAAGACGAAACCCAAAAAGGTTGCCTTCTATGGCAGCAATGGCCAGCGCTATACGTTCCTGTTTAAGGGCATGGAGGATCTCCATCTAGACGAGCGAATCATGCAGTTCCTGTCCATCTCGAATGCCATCATGGCCTGTAGAAGTGATGCGCCTGGCAATGGCTGCTATCGTGCCCATCACTATTCGGTGATTCCGTTGGGACCGCAATCGGGACTGATTAGCTGGGTCGACGGGGTCACACCTCTCTTTGCACTCTACAAGAAGTGGCAACAGAGGCAGCCACAGGTCACTGGAAAAACTGGAGCTGGTGCCAACGCCACGCGACGTTTTACGGATTTATTCTACAGCAAACTTTCGCCCCTACTAGCTAAGCACAATCTACAGGTTAGCGATCCACGACGACAGTGGCCAATCTCCGCCCTTCGCCAGGTGCTCGCAGAGTTATCTCAGGAAACCCCCGGAGATCTGCTCGCCCGGGAACTGTGGTGCCAGGCGGGAAATTCCGCGGAGTGGCGGCAATCGGTACGTCGGTATGCCCGCTGCATGTCTGTTATGTCGATGATTGGCTATGTCATTGGACTGGGCGATCGTCATTTGGACAATGTTCTTATCAACTTGGGAAGTGGCGATATCGTGCACATCGACTACAACGTTTGCTTCGAAAAGGGACGTACCCTTCGTATCCCCGAGAAGGTGCCCTTCCGTCTCACCCAGAACCTGGTGCATGCAATGGGAATAACCGGAATAGAGGTAAGTTAATACTTATCCTGATATTTTTAAGAAGTACCATATCCAGTAAGTTTAATATTTGATCCTGAAAATTTTGATTGGAGATTTAGAAAAGTTCTTCTCTTAACGATAATGTCGACTTTAATTGCTATCAAATCCACATAATTTTACCAGAACAATGAATAGAGATTGAAAATTATCCCTTTTCGGTAATCACTGTGTGGTCTTCGGTTTGATCTCCTGCTGGTAGCCCGTGGATGAAGAGGTGGCCTCCATGCGGTGCTTGCTGTCCGCCGGCAACTGCTCCTCACACTGTCTCGCTGTCCGGCAGCAGAGGGTTTGGGCAAAGGCTCGACGGAAGCCAGAGTTCTTCCACGAGTAAATGATCGGATTCAGGGCAGAGTTGGTGATGGCCAGCGAAAATGTGGCTTTGTAGATCATCGAGCTGCTCCGGCAAATGCTGAACAACTGAGCAATGGCCACACAAAAATATGGCAGCCAGCATAGGGTGAAGCAGCCCATTATGAAGACCACAATCTGTACACTCTTCCAGTCCGGATGTAGTAGCAGACTCCTCATAGTAGTGGCCTCATCCGTGTTGTAGACAACGGACTGTCGCAACCTCTGTGCCTGCTTGGAAGCCTCGCGCATTATCCGCCAGTAAACAAGTAGCATACAGATCCAGATGATCACAAAGCCTGGCGTAATCACCCCGGCTATGTAACCGGGCGAAAGGACTTCGTCGAATTCGCAAGCCTGGGCCTCGGGCCATCTATTCCAGAACACAGGCATCAGAGCCACCAAAGCACCCAGGCACCAATTACAAACGATGATGCTATAGGCCACCCTTCGAGTCATGTATCTGTGGAAGAATTAATTGGAAAATCAGGGTTTTATTGACGACAGCCAAGATATAGATTTGGGCCAATAATTTCACTTTTTAATTACCATTCCATATTTGGGCCATTATTGGCTTAGTTATGAGAAAACTACTGTCATTTTGAGGAGAAAATCGAGCCAAACCAAATTTTGCATTTTAGATCAGGGGTTACCCTCAAAAACTTTCCGAAAAATTACTAAATTTTTACTTTATAAACTGTGAATGCAGTTTTGTTAGAATTTTAATTACAAGTTCATCGGTGTATGGCATTCTGTATTCGTATCATTTTTGACTTTTTTGTGGGAAGAAATCTGATTATTATGGAGACAAAAATCTGGATTATGATTTCTGACAGAAAAACTATAACTTAGTCAAAACAAGACGCACAGCTAAGATAAAGACTCACCTTGGTTTTCTATTGCTACCTAGGTACTACCTTTTTCGATTATATTATAAATATATTGTTTTGGGTTTAAGGAAATTAATTAGTGAAACCAGAATATCAATAAATATTCCCTGGAATACCCAAAGATGACTTATATTAGTGACCATCTTACCTTCTGTAGTGCAAGGCATAAACCACGGCTATGTACCGATCCACCGCAATGGAGATCAGAGTCAGCATGGAAACGCAGCAGGCGCAGATGAGTAGAAAAAAGCGCAACAGGCAGGGACCTTTCATGCCGCCAATGTCAGAGCCCATGTAGAAAACCAGGTGATAGGGCAGAGCCAATCCTACGCAGAAATCAGAAACGGCCAGGGAGAGGATGAACAGGTTAGAGATGACTGACCGCAAGTGGCGACAGGTGCGCACCGCCACAATGGTCAGGATATTGCCGCCCAGTATAAGGACAAACAGGAAAGCGTTAATAGCCAGCCATAGGAGATGACCGGGGCCCAGGCTCGTCGTCTGAAGGCTTAGTTCCATTGGCGTTTCCGTGGCGTTTTGTCGTGACCACAGGATGGGGACACTTAGCGGCCCCGGAGAGCTCCGATAATCCCAGACGGGAGATGAGCTACTGGAAAATGACATGACACACGACGGAAAACGAAGTGTTCGCGCCGCCAGTGATGAACTTTCTGGCACCCGTGGGAGCTGTGGAACTGTGCAGTTTTTGGCCAGGACTTCGTATCGATTCGGATTCAGATTGAAGTCGTGTACGGTTGGAACCGTGGGCGTCGTTTGTTTACGTTTCGCTGGTGGCTCTACGACATCGTCACCGTCAGTTAACTGATAACGAGGCCAGATCCACCGTGAGAACCGCAATCCGTCGATAAGCCCGCCACTTTGGCCCGTGCCCTGCAGGCCCAATCGTCCATATAACGACCAACCGAACCAACCACTCCAACCACCCACTGCCCCAGGGCATTTGGAGTGTCCGGGCTCCCGGTCCCAATTCATGGCCCAACAGATCGCTGGGGGTTTTAGCAGATTAGCCCAACTAGGCAGACCAAAATAGAACGATAAAAACTGCCAGGGGCAGTACTGGAATACGTAGTACTTTCGGTTCGCAGATACATCTTCGATTAAGGTCAAATTTCTAGAGGGATCCATGGGGTGGTCTCCTTTATACTTATAGTATAAGTCAGGTAGATGATCTAACGTTAGTGCTATCACTACAACTATCAGGTGTAAGGTATACCTAATATTAAACAATAAAATATTATCAAAAGTATAGATGGATTGGTATTGATTAGACCTCCGTTTTAAAATCTGATAAAAGGTTACACAAGTGCAGGCAATTGTATTTCAGAAAGTGTATATTAATCTGAATAGTTGCCAAATATATTTCTGTTTACAGATATCAGATATCATATAAGCCCAGGATAGAAATCGAAGGAATACCTCCTAACATGCAGTTGAAAGTGAAGGTGCCCGTGATAGATTCTTATCTGATATCTGGCAACAGATGATATATATATATATATATATATATATATATATAGATCTAACAAACTCGTATCAATAAGCCATGCACTTTTTCCTGTTTGGTTTTGGACACACAGCGTTCTCGTGGCTTATGGATCGAGACAAGCCATGTGGGATTTGTTGGAGATGCATCTGAGGATGGCATGACCAATTGGATAAATGGGGGCTAAATCTGAACCTTAAATGTGTATATCTAACTAGATATATATAGATATATACATAGGCGGACATGGCTTATCACATAAATTACGGGCCAATCTACAATTGTAAAGAGCGATTAGCTTTGATGCCCGTCGAGGTCGTATATGTAGAACATGGTTATGGTTTGGGGTTTGTTTCTGTTTCGGTTTCTGTTTCTGGTTTGGGTTCCCATAAAATCAGCATTGCAAATATATCGAATCGTATATCTGTGCGCCGTTCAACAGATGGAAACGGTTCCGCCGCACATTTATGGACCCCAATGTCCCATTTATGATTGTGATATGTCTATATGACCACCGTCATTAACCATTAAAACCATCATCTTTGCCAGGGCTCCTTCCGATTGGGCTGTGAATACGTACTGAAAGTGATGCGTAAGGAGCGTGAAACCTTGCTTACCCTGCTGGAGGCCTTTGTCTATGATCCTCTAGTGGACTGGACCATAAACGATGATGCCCAGGCTCTGCGCCGATCCCTGAATGCCAAGCACCAGCAGACGGCAGGAAGAGTAGCAGGAGGTGGTGGGCCAGGTGCCGGAGAACTTAAATGCCACAAGAAGGACAAGAACAAGGGAAAGCCACACGACTGGGATGCCAAACGTCAGCACTTCTTGGGCAAACTTGGCTTGCTGCAGAAGTACTGGGATACCAATAAGTAAGATATCTATATTTTCATCTTACTTCATTTCCAGAAAGTAATTTATACTTCCGATTTGACAGAATGGACATGATACTCCAGCTAGAGGAGATGCAGCAGGAGGTGGGCAATCTGCAGGCAGCTCAGACCAAGCAACTGGTGGCCGAGCAGGAGCTCGTGGAATTAAACCAGCGCAGTGCTCTTATCGCAGAGATCAAATCCCTGGGTACGGCGATGAAGAGTCACAGCTTTAACACGGCCTCACTGCGTCATGCCGTACGCCGTGGTCACTCGGAGGCGTTGGCCAAGCTTAGTTCGGAGCGTTTGGCGGACTTTGCTCAGGTCCAGTGCCTTCTTGGTACTTATGGTCAGTGCCTGCAGCCGTATCATCTGGCCGAACTGCATTCCCAGCTCGTTCAACTGCAAATGGAGTCGAATACCGAAAATGCCAGGGAATCTGCTGCTCTTTCGGAGGCTCTACAGCTTACCGGATTCGACACCATGCGCTGCCAGTTGGATGAGGTACTGAGCCGGCTGGATGAATTGGCCTTGCAGAGCTCGGAGCATCTGCAACAGTATGCTGCCGTTATGAATTTCTTCCCGGAACAGAGCCATCGTCAGAATCTGTTCGTACGTTTCCACGACAGCTTTGGAGCGTACATTCAACACGGAGGCTCCGTAGACGCCACCAGAAATCCAAATTCGCCATCCAGTTCGATTATCTGCACGGCGGATGTCCTCGGCGTTGCTGATGCCTTGGAGGGCGCCTGGGTGCGGCTTAGTTGCCAGTTGCATGATTCATCACAGCGATATGCCGCCAAGCAGTCGCAGGCTCTGTCTCTCGGTGCACCCACTCCTGCTCTGCTGGGTATGATTGGCCAAAGTGGCTGCAGTCTGTTGCTGTTGAAGGCCAGTTTAGTTCGTACTTTGGATCGTGCGGGCGGAGCATTTGCTGCCTACGAACAGGTGGCGTTAGCTAGCCAGGACGAAGGATTGCTGCAGCATCAGCTGCACTTCATCCACCTGGTGCGCTCTATGTGCCAAGGTGTTTTGGCAATAAACGAGCAGGAAGACGTCCATCTAACTCAAATTGAAAGCTTTCTATCAGCACTATCCCATTTAAAGCAGATCTTTGAGTACGACCTGCCAGCCAGCATATACAGATTACTTTTGCTGCAACCGAATCTTGGCCAGCTGAGTGCTTTGTGTCATCTAAGTGCCTCCAGTCTAAGTCAGCTGTATCTGGAGGCAACGTTGGAGAAAGAGCAGCAGCCGGATGAGTTCCCAGCAGAGCGCAGATTTCTTCTAACCCTGCAGCCCGCCTACGAGCAGTTCCAGATAGCTTCCACCGCTTTGGATACGCTAGTAAGAAGCGTCAAGATGATGCTCGAGGATGTCCATGATGCCCAGGCTCAGCAGTTAATGGTGGGTGTAAAACATTTTGTATTTGTTTTTGGCCATATCTAAACAAGTTTCTCTGGCAGGAATTGGGTCTACTAAAATCATGCCACTTGGAGCTGAACGACGAGTGCTTTTTCGGCCTGGTCAGTGAGGCATTAGAATCCAGCAGAACCTGTGATGTACGCGAAATGGTGCGACCTGTTGTGGATCTAGTACAGCACCTTCAGGTGGAGAGTCTAGCGGGCCTGCTGCCGCTCCTGGCACGCAACTTCTACACGGCAGTTGGTCCACAATGCCGACCCACTGCGAATTGCGGAGTTCTTGGGGATCCAGCTCAAGCAGATCACCTGTGCGAGGCCCTGTTTGTTTCCCTGCAATCGGACGGGGGACTGCAGCAACAACAAGCGGAAATATCTTTACTCAATCAGCAATTGGAGCTGCACACCCTGGCGGCATCCGCCCAATACTGGGCCTATGCGGAAGCACTGGGAAATCAGTTACGTTGTGGCCATCACATCGTCAGCCGTTTAAAGCTGGCCGATATCATTGGCGAAAGTTGGCTAGAGTTGGACCGGAATCTGGATGCCCTGCAGCAGTTACAAATTGGTCTGGAGACGCAGCTTAACCAGTTGCAGACTCAGAGGAGTAATTGGAATCGAAATCATATAGACAACTTGTTGCGCACGGAGCAGTGTCACAGTCAGCGGATAATAAACCATGTTTCGGTGGTGCGTCAGCTGGCTGATGGAGCCGAGGCCGTGTCCCGCCTTGAGCAGCATGCTGGAGCTTTAGGCGAGGAGGGGCTGGCACAGGTGAATAATTTGGAACAATGGCTTGCTTCGCACGGACAATGGCAGGCGAGCAGCTCGAGGATAAGCGCCGTGGAGCAGTCTGTCGTCGAACTATTGGATCCAGAAGGTGCCATCGATCTTTACTGGCTTGAAAATGTGCAAGGATTGCTTGAGGAACAAACCTGCAAGGTGCAGCGCGAGATTGCAGCACTGGAAGGGGAGCAGACGAGCAAGCATCGTTTTATTTGTACCTTGCTAAAGGAGACACAAGTAAGTGGTTGACCAAATCTTGGCTTACTAATTTTACATTATTCCGTGTACACAGCGTCTGCATGACAATATGCCACGTTTCCATGTACGCAGCCTGTGCTCGGAGGCACAGGCACAAGGTCAGGGTAAAATGGTACCCACGGATGTTCAGCTGCTTTGTGGTCATCTGCGCGACTGCCAGCGCTTGCTGCAAGCCGTCTTCCTGCGGTTGCAAGATTTGCGCAAGGATCTATGCGCCGAGCGTCGAATCCTGCAGCCTGCTATGCTGCAGAACTGGCAGCAGCAGCTGCAGATCATCCTGACGATGGCCAACCAGGAGGTGAACGAGTTCTTTAAGAGCATGGACGATTTCGTACAACACGCAGCCGAAACGGACACCTACGAAACTTTCACACACACCAAAGGTAAGAAAAACCGACCATGGATCCCTAGAGGATGTGTTTCCAAACTCTCTAAATGTATTTTCATCGCAGGTGCTAGTAACTTGCATGAGCAGAAGCGCAATGCCTACGGTGTGTCTGTGTGGAAGAAAATACGGATGAAGCTAGAAGGGCGCGACCCAGACGGCAACCAGCGCAGCACCGTCGCCGAGCAAGTGGACTATGCCATTCGCGAGGCCACCAATCCGGACAACCTGGCCGTACTCTACGAGGGTTGGACGCCATGGGTCTAAATTTCCACACTGGTCGGCCACAATTTTGGGCTTTTGACATCACCATGCATCACAACTCGGAGCGGAGAGACTACATTCAATATTGGGGCTACCTCTGGACCGGATCTGAAAGACGAATCGGATCTCAGGACCTCCTCAGGACTATAAGCAGTCGCAGCCTGACGGCGGACGACTCCCCAAAAGGCCGTTACGGTATCAATTTGACCGTCAACGGCACCCAACCAAGTGTAGTTGCTTAAACGATAGGAAACGAAACGAAACGAGACAGACAGACGCGGAGTGCAGTGCTTTGGGAACCGGCAAACCGGCTGGTGCTATCTCGGATCGCTTCCCTTATTCCGAGTGGACATAACGCGAGTGGCTGATTGGTTGCCGGTTCAGCAGCAGCAGCCACCACTCATAAAGCTCAGGATATATACAGGATCTGAGCATATAGATTTTATCGGATTCGATAATTTCCAGGTTTCAGGTTTCAGATTTCCAATTTAGGTTCTCCGGCCCCCGGTCTCCGCTTTTGATAATGATGTGCTAATATTTATATTCAATTCGATTATACTATATATATATATTCATTTACGCCGTACCGGATCCGTTTTAGTTTATGTATTAAGCCAATCTTAGTTCTCCCCCGCATAATTGCTAAATTGTTAAGTGTAAGCCGCGATTAAATTGTTTGACCAAATTATCCGTAGCCATATCAAAACTATATATACATACCCCAAATATAACCGCGATGCCTGCTCATAGCCGCCGATATGGCGGACTCGATTTGGACACCAGTTAACCAAATCCGCCGCCATTTCGTTCTCGTTTTAGTTATTTCAATAAAAAACGCAAATACTGAATATAAATGTTGGTTATTTTGGTTTTTGTTCGAGTTCCAAGAGAGAGAGAGAGAGTAAGACTGTTGTGGTATATATAATCACTCATTTATTTTCTAAAGTTCTTCTCGATTTTTACTCCGTTTTACTTGACAATTGTTAGCCTAATCGTTTTTTATTTGCTCTATTCGCTTTGGTTGGTTATAAAAGTTCAAATATTTTTGTATTTTTCTGTTTTTTTCTTTCGATTAGTTACCAATTTCGCCATCGGGATACAAAAAACCATTTCTCAAATATAACCAATATGGAAATTTGCCTTCAAATCTTAGGTTTTTTTTTTTAGATTTTAGTTTTTATTTTTTTTAGCTTTTATTTTGTCGTTTACTTTTGGAGTGAAATCAGTTGTATCCTCAATCGCTCAATGCAACGCTATAGTTATACAGTTACAATTTTATATATATATATAATATACATATATAACGTTCTATATATATATATATATATATGCATGGTGTATGGGGTGTATATCTGTACAGTACATTAAAGTATATCATTTACAAAATAGTTCTTACGTGCTGCCGCCGTCGCTGCTGTTCGGCTGCTTCGGTTGCTAAGGAAACTTTGGCGGATCATCGATGCAATCTTCGCTGCGATCCGGATATATATCGATGAGCAAGGATAGTAAACATAATGGGTAGTCATTTTTACATACAATAATCAGTAATCAATAATCATATTAATGATAATAAACGCACAGCTTCACAGGACCAAAGCCAATTGTAAACGATACATCAGCAGCTGCACTCAGTTGGGTTTTTCTTAATATTCTGATTCGCTTATCGTTTATAACCAGCTTAGATTGTCTCTGTGGATATCGGATTTATGGCCGTTTCGAAGCTGTCGACAAATAATAAAAAAAAAAAAAAATTACAATCAGATTTGTCTTCAGCTTTCGTTTGACCAGAACTTCACATTGACAAATTACAAATAGTGGCGAATATTTCAAATATTTCTCATTCGATTTCTGTCAATTTAAAAAACTGTTTTTTTTTTTTGTTTAAACAAAAACACAAACAAAATGTTGATAACAAACATGGGTATACAAAATTACAATAATTTAAATATATAACTAGCCATAACTAATGGATAAACACAAAAAAAATTGATAGCGATTAAGGATTGTTAAACAAATCTTAAGGAACACCAAAAAATGGGGGAGAATCGTTTTCTATCTTCGTTACTTTTCAATCTTATTAAATGTTTTGTTTTTTTTGTTTTTGGTTGCTTTGCCTTTCGTTTTTCGTTTGTTTTCTAATTTAGCATAATTATTAATAGTATTTGTTATTGTTATTTTCTGTGTGTGGTGTGTGTTTGTGTGTGTTCTCCTTACGCTTGTGTTTATCCTATTTTAGTCCTGTTTAAAATAATAAATACATACATATACATTACAATTACAATTACATCATTATCCATAGTACAAAATATAAAATTTAACATCACATTGGTTGACATTCTTTTGTTGGTTGGTTGGTTGCTTCGCTTTACACTCCTTCCGTCATCATCTAAATCTTCTGGTTGTTTCTTCATGTTGTAGTTTTTGTGGGTTGGTTGATTCGTTACTTATATCTTTTTCATTTAACTTTATCATTATTTTTGTATTTTTTTATTATTATTATTATTAATTTGCCAGTTTAGCATTGTAAATTTATTTGTTTCAATTGATTTGTGTGTGTTTTTGGGTTCCATCAGCAGTCGATCGGTCGGTCGGTCGGTAGGTCAAATGATCGATTCTTTAGATCAGCATTTTGTGGCATAGCCTCTCCCCCAATCCCTTATCCTAAACGCTCTTCGCTCTACGCTCTACGCTCCTTGTGGTCTAGCTACAGCTAGTCGCGGTGATGAACAGCTGGAAAATAATGAAAATTAGGCATAAACTATATCATGTTTCAAAATCATACATACGTGCTATGTGTTTGGTCACTGGGCCTGGGATATCCGTCCCAACCCAGAGATTAGACCCTTCATTGCACCGCATCCAGCTGGCCAGTTCCAGTTCCAGTTCCATTCCTGCTCCATAACCCCCACCCCGCTTGCATAATGCACCACACAAACAACTCGGCGAGCTCTACAAAAAAGTAAACGTAATGTGAGTCCCATTATAATCGAGTGGCACTACCAGCTGGTAAGGCAACTGATTAATGCCCGTTACTTGTTACCAGCCGAACAGTCAAAACATGCCAATTAGAGGGCTTACCTGGCAAGGATTACTAATCTCCAGGATGCTCGGGACAGGAGCGATTCACCTCAAACCAACGGTCGATGCATCTATGTGAGGGGGAAATGGAGAGACAGAAAACAGACGAAATGTAATTAGCCCTCTGACATTTAGTAGAGAAATGCAACCCCCCCATTATGTGAACATACTTATTTTTAAATTTATTACCCCAAAAAAAAAAAGGGGTGAGGTGAGTGTAAAATTCAAACTAAGACACTCCTCAATTTTCCATTATTGACTCTTTGTTCTCCTCGCTTTTCATTTCGCTTTGTGGCTATTGGATATTTGTGGTAGTTCCTTCTCTTCTTTCCTCTTGAAGGGTAAATTTTATGATTACTTTAAAGATAAGATACCTACTAAATCCCTAAATATGCAGATTTACAACTTAGCTTCATAGATAATTTACAAAGTGAAACTAACTATTAATAACTTTGTAATAAATCTTAATAATATCTTTACACAGAGTGTATTCCTACTAACTATATACTTAAACGATCTTAAATACATCCCCTAGTTATAGTTTAAACTCACCCTTTGTGATATATGCAGAGACATGGCAGACGGGCGATGGTGTCTCCAGGACTCAGGTCTTCAAGGCAGATGACGCACTCGCCCTTGGCGTCCGACAACACATCCTCTAAAATGTCCAATGCATTTGAATAATATAAATATAGAGATTCTGGGAAATCGGTGATATATAAACTACATACCGTTATATGAAAGTCGCGGTTTCGTTAGGCACATGACTAAATGGCATTCAATGTCGTCCGGCAACACAAACTTATTGCAAACGGGGCACTTGATACCTGTAATTATTCGAGGAATTGGATGGGTTTATAGAAAGCTGAACCTAGGGATTAGATTTACACCTTGGAATGGAACGAATGCTTACCATTAAAGGACCAAATGTGCGATGGAAGCGAGGTGGCCGTGTAGACACGACCGATCCCATTGGCGGACGTGGCGGAAGCGGCCAGGGCGATGCTCTCGGCGATATTGCCGCCGGTCATTGACATGTCCTGAAATTGGGGAATGGCAAGAGATAGGGTATTATAAGAAGGTGAATGATTAGATATAAGAAATCAGTAAATATTTATATATATATATATATATGCTTACTATTTGTTATAAACAAATCATTTGTATCACTCACATAATCATAACTCTAATATCTTATATCTAATTGATACTAATTATGGATTTAACGTATACGTTATATTTACTCTTGTTTCTATCAAATTTGATTGAGAGAAGTTTTCGTTAAACATGAACTTTGGAATACTCTATGATGTGTTAAACAACTTTAAGAACTTTAAATGTATTTTATTTTAGATCCAATTAAAGCCAGACTATAAGGTATAGGAATCTTGGGAAAAGATCCACAAACCAAAGTTACCTTACTTACTAACCCCGTTTGACCTTTGGATTATTCAAATACTGAACAAAATAGAATACATATTCAATGGCCTAGTGAGTTCCTATAGATACATAGGTAAATAATCTCCCCAGGAAGCCCCACTCACCCTTATGGAATCGCCGAGGGTGCGTCTTTGCTGCATGTAGGGCTGTGTGGCGGATCCATTGTTGTTCCCGGCCACCGGGAAGCTGCTGTTGCTGTTCACATTGGCATTGCCGGACACGGAGACGGAGACACCAACGGTTGGATGTCCATGTGCGGCATGTGGATGCGAATGCGGACTGCTGCCGGACGATGTGATCGATCCCTGTTGCTGCTGCTGCGCCTGCTGCTGGATATCGGGCACAGAGCTTAGACTCCGCGCCCGCTGTCGGTCAATGGACGTGGAGTTCTGGTTGTGATACACCTGCAGGCCAGGTAGTGTGCGCAGCAGATTGAAACCCTGGCCGGTGGCGTCATTGCCACCGCGATTCTGCCCGGAGTTCGATGATTGCTGTGCGGGATCGGCGGCTCCTGTCGAACTGCTTGAAAATGTCCTAGAGCGTGGGCTCTGCTGGCCACTGGTCGCCGGTGTGCTCGCCTTTTGACCCATAGATGATGGTTATACCTGGGAGCCGGTCCTTTGTCCTCCTCCACTCCTCTCCCACACCGTCGTCTCCCACTTCTCCTGCTCCTCGGCGCGTCCTCTTTGTCTGCTCCTTCGCGTGCAAAACGGAGCAGACAACAATAGCAAACAATGCGATGTGCGATTTGCGATGTGCGGATGATAAATGCGGTCGGTTTTTTGTCGCTCGGATGATAAGTGTGTGTGTGAGTGTGTTTTGGTGTCGCTGTGCCTCTGTGTTGGTGCCAAAAGTGCGGGTGCTCGAAGGGGGGGAGCCGTGGGGGCGAGGTGTCGAGTTGTCGGTGGCCAGGGGGGCGCGTAGGGGTGGCAAGGACGGGGGAGGGCAGGCGGTTGGTCGGGCGTTAATCGGTGCGTAGTTGAATCGCGATTGTTATTGTTGCTGCCCCGTTATTATTGCTGCGCCTCCTGATTCCGGGATTTTGGTTAATCGGTATTCGGAATTCGGGATTCTGAATTCCGCTGCACACTGTTCACTGCTCACTGCTCACTGCTGATTGCTGAATGATGGCTACTAGCTGCTCCTGCTCCTAATCCCGTCCAAAACGCTACGCGGTACGCTACTGCTGCTCTCGCCGACTAAAAAATAGGTGTGACGCGACACGACGCTGCTGCCCAATCTGCCTTGATTACACTCTCAATTTAAATGACCGTTTTTCATATTTTTTTTATTTTTTTATACATTACATTAAAAGAGTTTCTCGATATCAACAGAGGCGTTAGTCCAATTGGATACCCAATCGATTGTCGGCTGGTATTCTAATAAGAATGGTGGTGGTATTACCTAGCTGTCTAGCGAGGACACGAACCATTTTGGTTTATTATTGTTTTAAGGTATTTTTGAATTCTATTAATATACATATTTAAGTTAAATGAGGGCGTTTAATAAATGACTATATTACATAGTACACAAATTTTATTTAATTTTCATTTTATTTTATTGTGAGCGTAACTATAACAGTCTTTTCGAATCTATTTATTGTACGGAACCGGTCAAGTAGACCATGCTTTTTCTGTACGCAAATTCTTTATATTCTGGCATTTTGAATTTGGTTCTTATTAACTAGATCCAATTACTGTGAATATATGTTTAAAAACAACGTGGATTTCCAAAACGTAAATTTGTTGTTTCGAAATGCAAAAGATATTAAGAGTTTGTGGTTTCTTTACCGAGCTTGCACTGTAGTAGTCGCAGACGGTCACACAGGCAAGTTATCGACAACCGATAGGACTTATCGGGGCTGAGTTGGATTGTTGAAAACACAATTCCAATTGGATCTAAAATAAGGAAATCGGCATCACGCAAACAACCTGGGATTTGCATGAGCCTCCCGAGGAGCAGGCGATTGCAGCAGGAGCAGCAGGAGTGGGATCTGGACTAGGAATCTATTCGTTAATCGACTGCGGCGACGTCAACAATATTGATACTGTGGCAATTGGGCTTGGGATTCCACATCCACAACCACCATGAGCTGGTTCGAAAAAGCCAAAACAGTGCTTATTGAGGCGCTGGACATTCAGGATGATGACAGCAAGTCGGTGGAGAAGGACTCACCGGTCTCTGGAGTCGCGGGGGAAAGTGGTACAACATCTGGTAACAACTCATCAGCGGAGGCGCCGGGTTCAGCTGCCACGCCCGCCTCGGACACGCCCACATTCTTTGACAATCCGCATGCCAACGAAATGGTCACCATTCCGCCCACGCCCACTTCCGTTCCGGGAAGCGCTGCCTACGGCAAACGCCAGTCAGCCACCTCGGATTCAGTGGATCTGCTCTCCTCCCCGACTTCACCCATTTCACCCAGCGGCGATGAGCCCTCGGTGGCTAAACGTATGTCCGAGTCCTCGCTCGAACTCATTACGGCCACCACAGCCAGCGAAATGGAGATGTCGCCTGACACGGAACCATCTTTGCCCGACAGTATTGTGATCATAGCCAGCAACGATGATACATCCGACAATGCCGAGGGCGATGGCGAGGATGATGATGATGACGAGGGCACGCAGCTGGAGCGTCACATGGAGGATCACCTGAATGGTGGGTATTAAAGGCCTCATTTTGCCATACACTTCTTAACCTTCCTTTCCCTATGCAGACTCCACCAAAACCATGAAGGCTCTGGTCTTAAGCGATATCCAGGCAGCCGGCAATGCCGACTCCGATTCCACACAGAGCTTCGAAGATATCCAGCTACAGATGAGCCACAAGGGCAAGTCACCCGCCCCTGCGAAGGCAGATGTTGTGGATCAAAGCTATTCGTCCACCTCCTCAGACATCGAGATCATCTCGAATCCTAATGGCGACTCCAGCACCAACAGCACCACCACACGCACCAGCCCGCAAAAGTTCAAAGAGCTCGCGGGCGGCAAGGTGGGTCTGAAGGCCAAGGGTCACCACCGCGAACCCTCAGAGATCTCGCTGCTGTCGGAGGATTCTCAGTCGGAGCTGGACAAGCTTGTGCAGCGCATTAGCGAACTGAACCAAGTAATTGAGGCGCGAGAGCAACGATTGCTGCAATCGGAGCGCCAGAATGGCGAACTGCTAGAGCGGAACCAGGAGCTGCGTGCTCGTGTTGAGGCGGCAGCCAATAGCGCCAACAGTCCAGATGCGGCGGATGCTGTGCAGCGTCTGTCGGCACTGGAGAAGAAGTTTCAGGCCAGCATCCGTGAACGCGATGCCCTGCGCATACAAATGAAGACCCTTCGCGATGAACTGCAAAACAAGATACCCAAGGATGAGCTGGCCGAGTGTAATGAGATGATCGCCGGCCTGCAGTCCGAGGGCGAGAAGCTGTCAAAGGAGATCCTGCAGCAGTCGACGATTATCAAGAAGCTACGCGCCAAGGAGAAGACCTCGGACACGCTGCTGAAAAAGAACGGCGAGCAGATCTCGTTGCTGTCCAGCGAATCTGAACGTTTGAAAAAATCCCTAGCCGCAAAAGAAGAGATGGAGCGAACTCAGATCGAAGCGGTTTGCCGGATGACGGCGGAGAAGAAACGGGTGGACGAAGAGAATGCCGAGGGCCGCAGCCGCATCGAAGATCTTCAATCTAGGTTGGCTGCCCTGCAAGCCAGCTTCGATGGACTAAAAGGTGATCTAAAAAACCGCACGCGTCAAGAGCAAGACAGTCTTCGTGCCGAGCAGCAGGAGTACGTGCAGCAAGTGTCTGATTTGCGCGAGAAACTGCGTCTGGCCGAGCACAATCTGGCCAGAAGGGAGCAGCAGCTGCGCGAGGAGAACCGCCAGTTATTGCGTCGCCTAGAAGCCGCTGAGCTCCGAGCGGAAAGCTCTACTCAAGAACTGGGCGCCACCACCACGCCGCTAATCCGACAAATCGAGTCGCTACAGCGCACCCTAGACCAGCGCTCCGCCGGCTGGAATCGCGAGGAACAGCAGTTGCTCCAGAAGCTAGATGACTCGCAAGTGCAGCTGCGTTCCCTGCAGCAACTGGAATCCGTGCAGGGTGAGAAGCAGGAGCTATTGCGCACTCGTTGTGGTCTGCTAGAGGAAAAGTTGTCCAGTGCGCTGATGGAGGCGGAGGCTGCCAAGATGGCACTACGCCAGCATAATCTGGAGGCGGAGACCAAAGAGAACGATTTCCAAAAGTGGGTCTTTCTATATTTCCCCAACTTCTTCATTTTAATTCGATATATTTTTTGAACGACAGGCAACTTAGCTTGCTGCAGGAAAAGGTAAAGCAGCAGGAGGAGCAAATTGCGAATCTGGAGCTTCAGTGTCAGCGACAGAAAGCGGAATCTGAGCAAGGCAAACAGCCTAGCCTGCTCACCGTGGAGGCGGTGAAGGCCAGCAGCGAGTTGCAGCCACAGTTGCAAATGCAGCTGCCGAAATCTCAGGTTCCATTACGCTCCTCGCCACCACTTAGTCTGGCGGATGACAGTGGCTCCAACGAGGAGGCCCTTGGCGGTATCATCGACTGGCAGGCGGTAATTTTCTCCAGGCCTTCAAATGGAAAATCTTTTTTAATGAACATATTATTATTAAATGCAGGACGATCTTGATTGCGCTTCCAACTCGGGCCGCCAGCCATCTGGAATCATCCAAGGCGTGCACCTGAGCTTCCTGGCAGCCAACACCAGCACCTTTGAACACCTACAGGCCTTGTTAAAGCAGCGCGATGGAGAGCTAACCCATTTGCAGTGGGAGCTATCGCGCCTGCAAGCCGAACGAAGCGTTCTCGATGGGGAGATATCCAATCTGACCATCGAACTGGAAATGGTAGGAGTGGTTTCTTTAGTGAAAACGGTTTGTGATATATTATTCTGTCTATCTTAATCAGATGAAGGAAAAACTGCAAGTGTACGAGGTCATGGAGAAGGGATACGAGGACCTACAGCATCGCTATGACGCTTTGCTCCAGATGTACGGCGAGAAGGTAGAACGCACAGAGGAACTGGAGCTAGACCTGACCGAGCTGAAGGCGGCATACAAGCTGCAAATTGACGAACTGCTGGCCGCCCCGCCTCCCAATCTGCAACGGCCGCCGAAGCAGACATGATTGCCGGAGCGCAGGATCGTCTCCCTGCCCGAGTTGCCATGTCTGCGGCGAACGTGGCCACCGTAACGTTCCCCCATGTCCGTCTCCCATTCCCAGTTGCAGTGTATTATGCTTTATATATATACATACATATTCTACCTATCGATTAACCACAAGCGATACGAATCCGGTCTGGGGAATCCACTTCCACTTCCCTATCCTCCAAAAACATCCACCACACATGTACATGCGAGTATATATTTATGATTTGCGTATGTTGAAATTTTCTAGTTATATTATGAATTGATCGATTGTGATAATTTAATTTAAACTATATATATATATATATACACACATAAAGTTATCGTCTATGACTATGTACAAAACTGTTTCTGTTCCGAGCAGTTTGTTAGGCGGTTGTGACGACACAGCAGCAACAGCAACAGCCTTTTGCAAATAAATCAAATATCATTTAATACAGAGTAATCACAGCGTTTCCCGGAGGGCTTCCTTGATGGCCTGGGTTAGAGGGAATACTGGCTTCTGGTTGTACTTTGAGTTTGGCAAATAGCTGCATACATTCTTGAGGTCATCGCTGTTCAGAGAGAAGACCATGACGCCTCCCAAATTCAGAGACTTTACATAGTTGGCCTTGCAGGCGATACTCGTTTGATTTTCGTAGGAGATCCACTCTTGCAGAGCGCTTAAGTATGGAGAACAGGTCTCAGCATCATAATATAGAGTGGGTTTAAAGTACTTCGAGGCGCACTCGCATGTTTCCGAAAGTGTAGTGAAGCCCAATTTCCCGCATTTGCCATAACCCGAAGCAGGCGCTCCAATCCTCTGGTTTAGGGGATTAACCAAGCTGTTTTGTGGGCAAAAGATAGTGAAGTTAAAGATGGATTCATGATCAGGACTTAAGTGCTACCTACGTGAAGGAATGTCCATAGGTGGGCAGACCGACTACCAATCTTTGTGGCTCCAGACCGCTTTTTAGCCACCACTGAACGGTGTAGTTGATGTTGAACGTGGCCATCAGGGAACGTTCTTGAGACCGGGCATAAAGTGGGGCATTCAACCCCGTAAAGGGCGTATCCTCGCGATAAAAGTGGAAATCATACGCCATCAGATTCACATAGTCCGCGTAAAGATTCAATTCTCGGATGTCGTATGCATAAAAGGCGATTCCCTCCGGTGCAGCCACCGCCAGTGAGAGAATATCATTTGTACGCTTTTCGCGTCGCCACTCCGTCCTAATCTCGTAGAGCAACTGCGAGAGATGCATCCGCTCCCGGTCATAGGCACTCGGGAACTCCCAGTCTAGATCGATGCCATCTAAACTGGGATAGGTGCGCAGTATCTCCCGAAGGGAACGGAGGAACACTTTGCGCATCGCATGATTCGCAACCATACGTGCAAATTGCACTCCACTGTCGGCTCCTCCGATCCAAAGAAGCAGGTGAACGTGCGGATGAGCAGTCCGAAAAGACCGACTGTCGTTCTGCAGCACCTGAATCAAGGAATCTGACAGGAATATGGTGCCATTATCCAAACTAGCGGGTCCGATGTTTATGTGGGTGCATAGATCGCCGGGAATATTTAATAGGCTGAGATTGTGGATTCCATCGCTGGCGTAATAGCACACCAATCGCTGCCCAACTGGGTTTAATCTCTTGGCCTGAAGTCCCATAATACCCAGGCTGATGAACCCGAGGGAAAGGCACAACAAAGAGGACAACAGAACACTCCAGCAGATCAAAGTTCGCAGGCCCCATTTCCCATCTTCTTCAGTGGACAGTTCATCCACAACACGGGACTGGACATTGCTATCCAGTTTCTCGTAGTTTCCCATACTTTCTTTGTTCTATGGATTCACATCTAATAGTTATTTTATCAATTATTTATATTTATTATTGTTATCATTACACAAAAAAAACCAAAACAATAATGACCCTAGGTCGATATATTTCGATAGTCGGTATGTTTTGGTATTTTCTTCAAAATATTATATTCAGTATATTGGAGAAATTAAAAATGTTTTTATAGTTAATTAACTATTAATTATTAACAGTTTTATCTTATAAGCTAGACATATTAAATATATTTAAAATAATTTATACATTTTGTGAGTTCTGCATTTCCTTAGAATAAACAACCTTTGTATTGTTTACTTTATCAAGCTTGCACTGTGCTTGGTATTTCGGTTTTACCGTCCCAATTGGTAACACTGGTTAAGGAAAAAACAAAATTAAAAAACTAATATGCTTTGTGCTGGAAATTAACGATAAAGATCTCCGGAAAGCATATTTTCCAATAACTAAAAACTAAGACGACCGCAAACACACAAAAGGGATTCACATCCCCATTGTTTATGTGACCCGAAGAGTGCGATGGAAGATCCGGAGGACTACGACCTGAACTTTGTGCAATTGAGTCGCCAGCAGGTCTTGCAGCGATATTCCGGTGCAGTGCGTCAACTGCGCCGCCTGGCAGATCAACAATATGGGGTCCGATCTCTGAGCTTCGACAACTATGTGCTGTTCCAGTATTTCCGACAGCGCAACTGGCAGACGGGCGTCACACCTCCCGCCCCTTTGATGGCCTACCTCAAGCTGGAGGTACTGCACCATCTATTGGACAGGCGACGCCAGATTCTGTGTTGGTTGTTCTATTTGACACTAGTGTCCCTCTGTGTGGCTGCCTACCGATATGAGACGACCAGCTCCACCGGTGGACACCAGGAGCGCGTGGTCCAAGCCATGGTCTATCCCGGGATGCGAATGTGGAGACGGATGACCATGCCGCTGATCCAACGATTTCCACAACTTACCGAGCTCTACGACGAGTCCTGTTTGATGGGCAATCCGTTTTTCCAGCTAGAGGATCTTAGCTGTGGTCCATGTGCCGATGTGGAGAGCGTCTGGCTTGAGGGTGAGGAGTGCGAAGATGGCCAGCCGCCCGAAAACCACCAGAAGTGCCATCAGCCGGAGGGCTCGCCCTATGCCTTCCGAAGCAGCCAGCAGGAGGCCATTGATTTAAGCCAGTTTTACAACATCTATGCCAGCAATCATCAGATCTTCCAGCGCGATGCTTACCGTGTGCATTCCACCAACCAGGATGTGCACAATCTCGAGGATCTCTTTGGGCAGTTCAACAGCAGCTGGACCCAGCAGGCGCACAATCTTTGGCGCTGCAATCGAATGCTGCCCGCTCGACTTTTGCGGCCCATTTTCGCCCGGCCAACCCGTTTGCCCAGCATGGGCGTGGCCTTGGAGCGTTATGTGGCCATCGATACTGCCCAGGCACCGGCCTACACTTTACCAGAGACGGAGTGCCCAAATGTGTACGTTCACCAGGCGGTGGGCACGCGGTTCATCATCCTGCGACCCACTAGTGAGTGCCGGCACCGCTGTCGCACCCTGTCTTTGCGACTTACCCAGTCCTTTGTGCGTAAGTATTATCCATTTGGTCTTTATTTAAGGGGAAGTCTAGGGACAATATGAGGATAAGAAGATGGTAATCTTCTATATATGGGATATATCAAATTGATAATTGCTATACTGAGCTTATTGAACAGTGACATCATTTCTGATTCAACAAAAGTTCTGTGATAAGTTTTACCAGTTTTGTTTGTTTTTCTTTTTTTCAATTCGTTTTTGATAGTGGAAATGTTTTACAGATAGCCAATACTAAATGAATTTAGAATTTGGGATTTCCCCTTAACGTGGAATTTGTTTTTACTAAATCTCTATGCTTACAGTCAGCTACAATTGGTTGTACTGGAAACCGATCTCTGCGCCGGATCCCATATCGGAATCGATGTCCATTAGCCTGATTGGCTCCTATTGCTAAAGGATCAAGATTCTGATCCTATTCCCACTTCCCTCGCTCCTAGCTTTAAGCGCCATATATACACACACATACACAAACGACTTTTACCAAGCCAAAATTAATTTACGAATTTTGCCGTTCCATTGGATAAGCAAGCAAAAAAAAAAACTAAAGAATAGTAAGGAAGGAAGCTTAAAGCTGCCTTTGCCCTTTTATTTTTTAGACCCTAAGGCCACCGGCTCAATTCGTCGCCCTGTGTAATCCTCAAGCCCTAGATCGTAAGCCTTAGTTTAGTTTAACAGTTAACAAGCTCCTGGCCGCCGCGCTTCATCCTTGTGTTCGTCGTTCTAACCATTTTGCATTTACAACTCTCGGCTCTAAGTTATGTTCACATCAACTAGCGTAGCCAACGGAAAGCGATTTTGTAAATATCCATTGCCAGACTTGAGTTTGACTTTGTGTTTTTGCAACAACTCACGAAATAAAAGATACCCAATATACACGTAAAAATATATTTGTGATTAGTTTGCCTTTGTATGTTCTCTTCTCATCTTTCAACAGAGTTGTGTCCTTTTTTCGTAGGAGTCTAAACTTATTTGGGATGGAAAGTCTGTAATAAGAAGTGAAAACCCTTTTAACTTATATTTTGTATTTATTAAGGGCCATTCCTTATAAAGGTTGATCTTTGTATACATATGAAAATGAGTTGGTTAGGCTTGTATTTTACAGTGTGGTGTCCAATTATTCAATGAAAGCTTTCTTAGGGAAATTATTGATTGACCTTTCTAAGGGCATCGAAGTAGGAGCCGCTCATGAGGTCTTCCTCCTGGATTCCCAGCTCTTTAGACAGCTTCTCGGCAATAGTTTGACCCTCCTCAAGAGTCTGTTCCGGTCGCAGGCACACCTCCAGCTCCATAAAGTGGCCCAAATCCTGCACCTCGTCCAGATGGATACGCGTCTGTCCGCAAAGGAATAAATGCCGCTGCTTTGCCAGAACCCCAAGGACTCCGTTCGACTGGCGCAAGATCTTTTCTAGCACCTCCGGTTCGTCCACCTCGGTTTTGTTGAACTTTGAGAGCTTTGGACCCGCTACATCTGGACGATCGTAGAAAACCAATTGGGATCGAGCTGGAGCCTGTAAATAGCGCAATTTGAGTCGTCCGCCCAGCGGAGATTCAAAAAAGACATCACGCTGCTTTATTAAAAGCTCATCCTGGCCCCCACTAAGATTTTTGGCAAGGACCAACCGCTCCTTGAAGCCTTCGGCTCCACCAGGAATCCGTGCCTTCACCTCCACATTACGCTGATCCGCCGGGGAAGCCGCTTCGCACATGTTTATAGCAATTTTGTTATTAACAAAATAGCGGCGATAAACGATAGGTTGAAGATGCACCCGACGCAAAAAATGGTTGCTCATCGTTTCCCCAAAAGATCCTGTTCACACCGAGGAACTTTAGCCTATGTGAAAGATTAAAAGAAGCTAAAATCAAGTTCGATTTTACTTTTAACTTAATATTCATCATCCGAAATGTTAAAATTTTTAAATCATATACAAATTAATAATGTCCCCTATCGCAATTAAACATATTTTGCTAAAATTTCGAATTATTCCTCACTTCAGGAAACTATCACATAAAGCAGGGAAGTGAGAACGCTGAAAAATCGTTATCGTTTTACCGCCACATTTGAAAGTTCCGGAAGCTCTCATAAAGGGCGGAAAATTTAAACTACATTTTTGGAAATAAATAAATACATAAATTGTGTTATTAAACGTTTATCCTATTTCACGATCATTTTCTTGAAACATTTAATATCTTTTTTTCGTTCAATAACTATACTGTACACTTTTTAACCAAACATCGAAAAACCAAAATATTTATTTTTTAATATAAGTTTATAGCTTTGCCATCATGAAAATTTTTTTAATATTCAATTATAGATTCCTGTGATAGCTTAATGTCTTCAATAGGATATAACTTCAAAGCGAGGATTGATAGGTACACCTTAAGCCATTACATTGTATATACACATACTTATGTACATATGTATGTATTTATGTAGGTATACATAAAGGATTTCTCGTTAAATACATTTTGAACAAAGAAAGTCCGTAAACAACGATATATACATACATATGTAGGTAAGAAATCAAAAAGTTATTTATGTACATATATATAAATAAGTACAAATATGTATGTACATACATATATAATATATATTCAATGAGCGTGCAACACACAACTTGAATAGTCTCTTGTCGAGGCCCCGCTTCGTCAACATACAGATACAGCAATAAAGAGGCGGTGAAAAGGAGGAGGAGGGAATGTGATGGAGTGAGGAGGGGGGTGAGGAGGAGCTGGAGGTGGAGAAACGATGCCCGGCAACGAACCAATACATACATTCATATATTAATATCTGTATGTATCGCATTTCCCTATGTATGTGTGTAGAGTGGTGGCGAACAGGGCGTTGAAATGTGGGCGTGGGCGGGGTTCCCGGGGGTTGTTGTTGCTTTGTTTCACGTGATGGACTTTGCTAGGGGAAGCGGAAGAAATATGAACAAAGAAGAGGGACAAATGAGGGGGAAGAAAGAAAAGAGAAAACAGAATCGTGAAACAAGGGGGTAGTTTTTCGTTTTCTTCTCACTATTTCTTCTGTCCTTTATTCTTTTTTCGCATCTTTTAAAATCTCATTTTGTTTTTAAAGTTGTCTATCTTGGCATCCTTTTAATTTACATACATATGTATGTATATATATGTGTGTAAATGTATCGAAGTTCTGTGTTTACTACTGTTTATTCCCCTCCTTTTTCCCCCACAATTTTTCTTAATTTTTTCCCCCATTTTTTGGAAGCTATTATTTGTGTTTGCCTTTTTCTCTCCTTCCAAATTTTTCTTTTGCTATGATTTAGTTGTTTTTATTTTTTTGCCTGAAGCTGAGTAAATGTATTTTTAATTTGCCAGCCATTTTTGTTGGTTCTTGCTTCCTCTTCTCTTCTCTTTTCTTGCTTCATTGATTTTTGATAGGGTAGCAAAATTTAATGAAGTTCTCTTTGGGCTTTGATTTAAGTGTACATACATCCGATCGAAAACTAGCTCTCTTTTTATCTACTTTATTCTGCAGGCAGTGAAACTCTATGTTCTCTGTCTTTATCATAGTTTTCTACTAGTTCATCATAGAAATTTACACATATTCATACATACATACATATATAAAATGTGAATTGTATGTGTATCATATAGCATGGAATTATTATCTACATATGTACAGCTATTATAGCTTCAGTTACAGAACACATAGACACACATGCACAGCAGCGGCCAAATCAGTAGGTTGCTAAATTTTCAACAAAAAAACTTTCTTCTTGTCATGTTTTAGTAGTTTTGAATCCCATTTTATGCGTGTTCATTTCATTGATTCACCTTAACGTGCACATACTGTATTTTAAATATTTTTCAAAAACTTTCTATAATACAGTACCAACGAGTTGACCGCAATTGTTGGCATGAATATGTATGAAACTTTGGCCATAGTGAATGGGAAAGCAACAAAATCGTAGCCCAAAACAAGAAGCGGGCGAAAAAGGAGCGAAGCGAGAGGAGGGAAAACGGAAAAGTGGGCGGCAAAGTGGGAGGGAGAAAGAAACGGGCTGATGCACGCTGGCTATTGCAGGGGAAGAGTAAGGGGACTTTGATGGGGATAGGGAAGGTTGGCGATGGAGACGAAAATTTAATGCAGTTTTCTCAATTTTCTATGTGGAATTCTGCGATGCTCGACGTCAACTGAGACGTTGGCAGCGACGCCAACTGCGACAGAGGCAGAGCCGGCAATATAAAATGACGGCGACGACCTTCGCTGCTGCAATCGCTGTTGTTGTTGTAGTTGTAGCTTTTGTTGTGGTTGTTGTGTTTTCTTGTCTTTTGTTGTTGCGGCCCTCAGTTTTTGGTGGCCGATGGCACAAAATTGTATATTGGCCATGTACAAACACACACAGACACCCAATAAACATGCATACACAGAGAAAAATACAAGAATCGGTTAGATGGCAATGTTTTCTAAGAAATATTTCTGTATTTCAAATATTTTCAAAACATTCATTGGGTCGAAGAATATAACTTCATCAATTTATAAAAAGATTTCTATTTGATTTGCCAATTTGTTGATGATTTTTAAGGGTTTCGAGAGTGGTTTACAGCGAAATGTATCAAAATAATATCACTAAGAGTAATGAAAGACTCATTATCTGATCAAAAGTGATGAAAAATCATATTTTTATTAAAGTGTGCGTGTAAAATTTATACATATACATACGTATACAGATACATTAGTATATGTATTAAGTATCTGTATGTTTGGCGGGCGTTTATATACATAAAGTAAGACTCTTTTGTGTATGTATCTGGTTTATGCGATTGTAACTGTTTACCACCTCTATCATCTACCGTTCTCCCTCCCACTCACTGGTCATTCGATATTGCCATCTCTTTTTTAACATAACCAGCTGCGACTTTAACTTTACAGTTGTTGTTGTTGTTGTTGTTGCCCAGTCTCTTTTGCTCATTTTGTATGTGTGTGCTTATTTCATGTTTTTTTTGTTCAAGAGAGAGATACTTTGACCTTTTTTCCCATCAAGAAGTCTGTGAGCTGGAGATCATTGCAGATTAAATACACACACACACACAAACAACAAACGGCAACAACAAAATGTATCTGACGGATACACAGATTTATATCTCGGCTTTTTCGGTGTTCTTTTTTCTCTGTTTGCTTAATATTAATTCTCTGTTATTCACTTTTTTGGTGGTATTTTTATTTATTTCCTTTTTACCCGGCTTTTATGACTTCATTTTGTTCGCTTTTTCTTTTTTGTTTTTTAATATATCCAAATTTTGCTTGTGTGTCTATATACATGTATGCATATGTATATGAAATATAGATAAATGTAGATACACACATATATATGTATATATGTCTGTGTATTGGCTTCGCTTTGTTCCTAGGCACCCAACATTTTTCAATGGAATCGATTATAGAGAACGAGAGGGCGGAAGACACACACAACAAGTGGAAGCCAAAAATCTGCATGTATCTGGGTATATATCCCTCCATTGAAAAGCCTCCCCCCGCCAACCAACCCTTTGCACCATTACAGACCCCCTTTTTGAACTCGCCCAAAAATCCCCGACCCCCAAAAACCCCCTCTGCAGTTCAATGGACTCTGCCTTTTTCGGCATACCCTCACTTCTGCGAGGCGGGATAATGGGAAACTGGGTAACGGCCATCGATCGAAAGTTCCAAAATATCTACTTAAGATTTGAAACTTTAGAAATTATAATACTTTTGCACAGCAAGACTAACAAATAAATTAGAAAACAAAATAATTTTCCTCAAATGTTAGGTTTGTAAGATGATTTCAAAGACTGTACGATCCCCAATTGCTTTTTAATATATGAAGCTATATATATACATATATATATATATATATAAATATGTAACTTACAGAGTATAACAGAACCGACTTTGGGGTATTACTTTCCATTATGCTTGTTTCTTTAGTTTTTCTTTTGGCAATGCACCAAAACCAAAAATTATTTATTTCTTGGGGAGTTTGAATACTCTGCAAAATATCATAAATAGATCTAAGATCGTTTAAGAAATAAGAAGTTAAAGGATCTGGATATTATGCAATTTATAATATTTATTATATATTATATATATATATATGTACATACATACATATGTATTCATGTATGTATGTCTTTATAGCTAATATACCTCTCTTTCATAAGTCTTGAAAGAGTGAAAATAAATGGGGAAAAAATAATAATACAAAAGAAAAATTAGCTGCTATTTCTCCATCTCTCCCATTTCTTTCATTTCACCAACCCCCCGCCCACCTTCTTACTGTCTCCTTCACACTCGCATCACCTTGGTATTTTCTTTGCATTTTTGCTTTTTCGCCTTTCTTCGCTGTTGCAGTGCAAATAAATAAATTATAATAGTCTCTATCCACACTTACACAAATGTACATATACATAAACATATATATATATGAAAATATATATGTACATATATAGATTAAGATATATAGATTGTATATACCCATACATACATGTACATATATAGGTTTTTATTTCTGTTAGATATTTCATATTTATTTATGAGCCAAGGCAATGAGAAGAAGAAACATTCATATACATATGTATGTACATATATATGTATGTATGTTAACCCATATATATACACATTTATATAAACATAGATATGTATATAATCACACATACTAACGCGAAGCTGCACAAAGCGGAAAAGCAAAAGCCAAAGCTGAAACATATACATACATATATACATATACATATATACAGTACATATCTACACATGAAAAACCAATTTTCTTTTTACCGTTCGATTTCTATATATATATGTTTGTATGTAAGTTATACGATGAGACGTAAAAA